GAGTGAAACGATCACTGACCCATAAAAAGTAAGAGCAGCATCGACGAGATGATGAAAAATAAGACGTCTACGGTCTCTGCGAAAATTTCGCGGGAGGCTGAAGGAACAGGACCGCGAAATCCAGCGGCGTGATAAAGCTCCGGCGGCATCGGTCTGCAGCGTGTACCACGCGCATCGCCCACGCACACGCACAAGCAGTGCAACGTGCAGGAGCAACGATCCATTTTCCGTATCTTTATCCTCCTGGTGGCCACTAGTCCTCCGAGACGATTCAGCAATTGTACTGGAAATTTAACCGCCCAATGTTTGCTCGAATAATTTCTTACGCGTAATTTCTCAGATGCAGTTCGCGTACTGCGACAACAAACATTGCAGCAGTCCGCAGTCCGATAACTTTTGCGAGAAGCTAAATTTTCCTCTATTCTTGTCACGTTTATATTAAAAAAAATTCTTGGGTTAAAAGAATATAGTATCGAATGCAAATGTGAGAGTCCCGGCTCCAACGCTGCTTAAATATTACTGAAAGATACGAATGTCTGTAGAAGTGATTATAGATAGTTATTGTTCTCATTGGGTTGTTAAATTTACCAGAACAATGAAACTCGGTTACGGGCAGTTCGCCGTAGAGATCCAAGTTCACCGTTTGGTCCCGTCGAGGTCGAATTATTTTTCTAGGAAATGTAGCGTTCGCCCAAGACTCTAGAAGATTGTCGGGACATTTCGCGATCCTTGATCGATAGAACGTCGAAGTCAGTCCTATATTAGTTATCACAACTGTCACTACAGTGTGATCGAGTGCCGTGCTGTCCACATGCACTTCGCTGATGCGACCTAGGGATCTAAGATTGAAGAACAATCGCGATTTAATCAGAGATCATATTGGGATATCTTTAATTTTAGCCACTCGTCAACTTGCTTCAGTCCACAAAATCTACGATATGTTTGAAGAACTTCGAAAATGACATTGTATATAATACCTTCGTATTTTCTCGTTAAGAAATTTACTTCCATTTACGTCACATCGTTACGGTATCGTAAGACTCTAAACGCTTCAAATGAACACTTTAACACGTACGTAACGTAGATTACCTATCGACACGTTAGAATCGCGTTCATTGACGCTTTCCTTCGTTACTCCCGAAACTTTAGAATATGAGCTTCTTTCAAAGAAGAGACACACTCAGCCGATACCTAGCCACTCGGAGTAATCGCAAAATCGGATTACGAGGGAATTAGCGCGCGAAGTGTAAGCGAACTGGTTACTTGGTAATCTCTAGTTAGTCATCTAGGGGTAGATAGGTATCGTTCCTCTCGAGACTCACCCTCCCGCGAGCGCGGCCTTGTAACCCGCTTCGACTTCGATGTCGATCGCAGACACGTGCGGCGAATGGTACTCCAGAGCGAGGAACTCGTGACTTCCGCTCCCGTTCGCGCTGTACTTGATGGGCTCGCTCGGCACGGATGCGAAATTGCTCAAGAAGTAGCAACCAGGTCGCCCGGCCGCGCGAGCTTCCTGTCGACATGTGACACTAGATCGAACAGCGGGCCCGACCTTCGACAGCCGGCTGGCGGAAATGTTCGCGGGTATGCGAGGTGGTTTCCGGCACATGTTCGTGACGCGCGACCGTCGTATCTTACCGATAAACCTCGCGATGACGTATCAGCGCGCGGCTCTAAAGTTCGGCCAGCGAACCCTAATCGATAGGTCCTGCCCCGTTCCCGATAAAAGGATCTCCGCTTGTAATTTTTCCTTCGCGATTTCTAACACTTTCTTTCATATCAACGGATTAATCTCGCAGACTCTTGCTAAAATTCTCGCATTTGCAAAAGGTCCAACGCGGTGGACTGTCAAATTTCGCGAGCTCTTCCGTGACGGAAACTGTCCGAGGCCACGTTGAAACGTAAGGCTGTCAAGAGTCTTGGTCGTCGAATCCGAAATTTGCGCGCTGCGAATGTCTTGCGACGTACAATGCGTCGTATCGCAATAGGATCGAGGAGAAAAACGCGGATCCGCGATACAATGATTCAAAATGTAACAACGAGCACATTCGCAGCGACGGTCATTTATGAACGCGAGACAGATTTGGTATTTCGCCCAAACGAGACGGCTCGAATTCCTCGTCTCGCGTATCACAGAGCCCGACGTACAAAAATCCACGCTGGTCCCTCCACCGGCGACCGATTTGTATGCGACTGTCCGTTCCCGTCGCCACGACAAATCTCCCTCTCGCGACGTTTTATACGGGCATAAGCATTAAATTCGTGCGCGATAAATCATGTTACACGGCGAGCGGGCCGCACTTAAAGCGTCTCACGCTCGCACGAAACTCGACGCGGGCGCGACGGCCGCGAATAGCTCGAGGACAGGCAATTTCCAGTGTTGTTTCATTTATTGCACCTGTCATACGTACCGCGTCGCGCCTACGGTAGGCCAGGGGCTGATTTTTCAAACAGGTTCCTCTGACACGTCCGCACCGGTCCGGTTGCCTCGCGAACGCCGCGAATCCCACACCCGCTTTGTCGCACTTGTTCCCGCTCTCGTCGATGCTGCTCGCCGGCACCACGAGATACTCACCCGATTTGTCTACATCGAACGCCAAAATGTTATCATTTAACATCTCGTATTAGATTAATTACTCGAGATTGCTCTTGGATCCCATACAGCACGCATGTCTAAAAGACATCTTTAAGACATCTTTAAGTCATCTTTTAGATATGTGTATCTATACATCTTCGCAAAGTCATCGTAGCGACGAGTTTAAGTCACAAAGAGCCAAGTTTTATTTGTCGAATATCGAGCTTTTAAAATTCTTACGCTCAATTTTATTACACATTACATTTAATTGTGTGTATTAGATTATAATTATTTATTACAGCAAATTCTACTTAAACGACGTAACGATTGAAAATTATTATGCCGCTAAATTGAAATTCTGGTACGTATATTGTGGAACACCTTCGTATCTTTCAATATACGATTCGACACTTGAAAACTTGGATTAAATTTTGTACAGGGAAGGATTGAAATTCCGACGAAATTGCCATTAGACATAGTTTGGTATACCTTAAATAAAATATATTTAGCTTTTTCTTTTTTAATTAAGGGTAAAAGTCGTTGAAGTCATTGTTCTGGGTGTACAATTATTCGCTCTACGTCCCGACAATTTCCATTAGAAGACACAATCTCGCGTGCGATATTTTGAAAGGGTGGCATTGAAACATTCCGGGTTCAATACCTTCGGCAGGATATTCAGAGCCTTTTGATGTCACCGACGACGGTACCAAAAGACGATCATGAACGACATCCAAATTAGGAATCTCGCCCTCCTCCCGTCCCGGCATTTTCACTTCCTTGTAAGCGAAAGCGATCGTATCTTGGCTGCCTCTATGGTGCCTGTTGAACGTGCCCAATCTGATGGCATAAACGACCTGTCTAGCGTGAAGTTTATCGGGTCGCTTCGAACATACTCGAGTGCGCATTTAAACTCTCTCTCACACTCTCTCTCTCTCCCTCACTCACCTGACTACGGAATCTCTGGTGAGATCCTCCCAGTAAGTCGATCCGTTCGCTAAAGCGCGTTTTTCGTAAACCTGAAGATACACTACGTGCTCGACGATAGGATCCTCCAACTGATACACGGAATACCTGAAGAATTTTTCTGGCGTTTATTCCCGCCGAACCTTGACAATTTTCAGGATGATAAATTCGTAATCGATAAATAGAAAGTTGCGAAAGTCGATTTAGTGTGCATGGAGGACTTTTGAAATGTAACGACCACTATGAAATATCTTTGTATCGATTATCCGTTAATTAATTTGCGGCACGTCAACTGCAGGGGCCATCGGAAGCGGGAAAACAAAGCACTCATCTTTGCTTTTGTTGCGTCTATAGTCTGCAATTGTTGCCGCGCATAGCATTGTGCGTAAAACTGAAAATAAGTGATCGAGGGCCATTGGCTGTCATTTTAATGTTTTAATAAACCATCGGCCCATACCGCTATTACATGCACGATTGCCTCGCAATATTTTTAATAAACTTTATTGACAGGTAAAACAACACACTCTCCGTAAATAAATGAGGCGAAAGTTTTCTGTTATTTGCTAAATAATGAGGGTCCATTATTTTCAGTCCATTATTTTCAGGTGAATTTACAAAAATAACGCTGCTATGCATACATTTTATTCGCGATTAACGCATGCAAAAATTACTCTTTGTTTTCTCTCCGTTTCGCCCCCCCCCCCCTCAATTTATCGTTACAATTTAATTTTATCTCTTTCTCGAACTCGGTCACATTTCCTTTATATTTCCCGTCATAATCGCGGATCCGCTAACTTTATCGCGCGGTGGAAACGAACGTTCGGAACAAACGCGCCACTTTGAAAAGGTTCGCGTTCGGCCGCATCCCTTTCCTCAATGAAACAAACGTTATATTCCACATGAATCACGGCTCGACCCGCGATCCCCTTAAATCCCCCTGGGCGACCTACCATAAATCACTAAAGCGCAAACAATGTGCGGACTCGAGATATTTGGCCGCATCGATATTCGGCGGGTGTCGACGATCCGTGCAGTCTTGACCGCCGCGGATTTGCGCCGTGCCGGGATCGGCTTCCGGTCCATCGACCGTCCGACTTCCGTCGCGTTTGCGCCGCCGACTCGCGTCGCCTCTCGCAGGCTTCCGAAATCTCTCGGCGTTTTTTCTCTCCGCGGCGTCGTGGCGTCTCGAAAATCTCGCGGCATCATCGACGTCATACTCCGGCTCGAGAGACGTCATTAATAAGTGTCTCTTGAAACGCTGCGGGCTTTCAGTCGCCGAAATATCTTTCGTCCGCCGACTGCCCTTTTTCCTCTTCTTCTTCCGCCGCTGCTTTGTCTCCCTCCTCATCGGGCTCGAGGCTTTCTGCCGTTTCCCAAGTACGCGATTACCTTTCCGGAAATCGCGACGCTCGCTGACATCTCGTTTCTTGTACGGAACGCTACGAGACAATGCGAGCTTATGGGATCTGTCATGGAGAGATAATGAAACCAATTACCTGGTGCATTCTTGAATAATATACAATTCTTTCTCTATTATTGATAGTCTCCTTCAAAATATCTTGTTAAAAAATTGTCAAGAAGGCGGAAAAAATTAACGAAAATAATGTACATACGTTCAAAGTTGAGCTAGGTGTTTTATACTAATTTTTTTACATAATCTCATTGTTTCTATGCGAGACAGACCTTGTACGCTCGTCCACGGTTTCTCTGCCGATTTTAGAAGTGCCCGCGTTGTCGTTCATTAATGAAGAAGTTGAATATCGTATTGCGTTCGCCGAGGAGGTATCTTCTCTCTCTAACGAGCTTAACTCCCCGTCGACGGCGGATAAAGCATCATCGGTCGAAAGTTTTGCCAGAGGACCATTTCCGGCGACGTTCCCTTCGATCTTAAACGAATCACTTCTACCGCTAACGAGATTTGGGTCAGAGGGGCGGTTAATCTTGCCGCGGACGCGCCGAAATACGACTTTTCCCGGCGTTGCAGTTCCGCCCGGTGCTTCGCGCGATTCCCGCAGTTCCTTATCGATCGCCAGTCGCCGCGTGGCCGCCCGATGTTCCCCAATCCAATCTCCCGGAGGACCTGCTCTCGTGGAACGGTTAAGCAATTTCGTTCTCGTTTCGGCACGCCGATCCGATACCCCCGCCCTCCCGGCCCTCTTCGACTTGGAACGCCCGGGCCTGTTCTCTCCCGCGGCACCGATTCTTTCTAATAAAGCATTTCGCGAGACGCCGATACCGCGCGCAAGTATCGACCTGACATTGTCGTTAGCGACACCCGTCGGTCCGGACCGCCGGAACGCAGCGTTTTTACCCCGTGCCAAATATTTCTCTCGCGAAGATCCGATTTCATCCTCGGGATTTGTCGTCGTGGCAATCCCTTGTTTACCGAAGTGAAGTCGATCGACGGAGCTACGATCTCGGTCCCGCAGCCACGAAGACGAACGATTCGTTTGGCTGCCGTCCAATCGAGATTTCTTTCCCCCCGGCTCGTCCTTTGAACCTTTAAAGGGACCGTTCGAATTTTGTCTTACACCCGTTAGCTCCACGGTGGTATTTTTCCGAGAGGCATCTTTGCGAGGCGACTTTTGTGCAGGCTCGTAAAATAGGAAGGACTTGGGCGTCGCGAAAGAAGTCCTGCTCGATAAAGTGGTGGCGTACACCTCCTTTCCCGCGGAAGTTTCAAAGAGCGTGGATAGCCCTTCGTCCTTGGACACTTGATCGGGAGAGGTGGACGCTGCCGGATGAGAAGGTGCTACGGTAAAGGGCTCAAAAGTGCCGTCGCCCAAAGGCGACGATCCCTCGCGCGTCCTTTCCGTCGATCGCCACTCAGCGGTCGTAAGATCCTGCCTGGTCCCTCCTGATTTTATCATCCCATCGGTAGTATCTTTCTGCCGCTCCACGTGACTCGACGCGTTAATAACCACGTTCTTCACGTGGATCACCGTCTCGCCGACCTGCGTCCTAGGACCTGGAGGCTCCCCGTCCTCCGCGATGACTCTCAATAGCTTCATCATGAATCGCACGATGGCCATCATGTTTCTCACGCGAATCGCATTAATCGAATCGTCGTTGCACTTACTAGATAATGTCGCGGTCTCTAGAACGCCGTTCTGCAATCGCGTCGACGACGGTGAGGACCTCATGGTTACCGCATTCCGGTCGTTTACAGTCGTTTCGTAGACTCCAGGTGGAAAAGTTTCGGTAGGATCGCCATTCCGATAATTGCTCCAGGTTTGCAACTCGCGCGAGGTCGTCTCCGTAATTTCGAGTTCCCGAACGGTCGCGGGCATTCTGTAACAACCGCCGGAAGTAGCGTTCCGCGGGTCCTCGCGCGAGCAGCACGTCCTGGTTCCCCCGTAGTTCGCAGGATCGTCGCTCGGTTTCTCGATACTGACATGCACCAACGGCGCAACGCGAAGAGTAGTCGTGTTTGCTGGGTCAATCTCTCTCCCGATCGAATTGGATCGGTTTGTTTCGGTCGCGGGGACGTCGATCCGACGCCGGGGTTCTTTAGACACGTCCTGATGGTCTTTTAGACTAGCGTTGTTGACCAGGACGGATCCGAAAATGTCTGGAAAATACACCGGATTCGCGGATGACCGGGAATCCAGTTTGCCAATCGTTCCGCCGGCTCGCTCGGAAATCGCCCTTCCGACGCTCGTCCCGTCCGCTTTGCCATCGGGTTCGACCGAGCGATCCGTTAGAAAAACCTGCTTGGCCGATCTCGAGTTTGCGTTATATTTGTCCAATCGTTTCTTGACTCGGGCGCGATTTTTTTTCCCCATCTTTCGTCCCTCCCCGCTTCCTCGCGTCAGATCGAAGAGCATCTCGCCAGACTTTATCCTGACTTCGCCCGCGTTCGTCTTTTCGGCTTCCCGACTCTCGTCCAATCTCGCTTTCAGTGAATTACCCGCTTCGTCATTTCCACGTTCGCCCATGGACAAGAGATCCAACGTAGATTCCACATTTGAATCATTCAGAGGGAGATTAATGGTGGTAGTTTCAATCGCCCTGACAGTGTTCGACAATGCGGAAACCGAAGACCGCGTTGCTGAAGACTCGTCGGGAACGGCATCAAAGCTTATTAGCATTGGCGTCTGATTGAAACCACTGTGCACCTGAATCCTCCCAATTAGCGAAATTTTGATGTTTCCTTCGTTTTTAGACGTTGCCGAGCTTCGTGATAGGTCGATGTTCGATCGTAATCGTCCAGCACTCGATAGATTTTGATTATTCGTAGCAAGTGAGCTTACAGTTTCTCTCGTATTAAATGTCGACTGGGTGTCGTAAGGCGATTCCTCTCTTATCCCGTTGGATAAATTATTTTCGTTGATTTTCTCGCGAAAGGAAAATGGTTCCTCGTTAATCTCTTTGCCTCGTGAATTTCTTAAAATATTTTCAGAATTATCAAACTCTTTTTCCCGTACAGAGGCTTTATTATCGACAATGCTACGAACAATAGATTTTTCTTCTGCTTCGAGAGGAACTTCTAACATCTTATCGTCATTGAAACTCGTAAGATCAGTCGATTCGCGAGAAACTTCGGTATCTTGAAAGTCTGTACTTTTATTCTTAACTTTCTTCTCGATGTTCCTGTAATTGCCACCGTAATTAATGGTAATAAACAATGGCCTGATTACATATAAGCATAATTTAATCAGATACTAGTTTTTGTATCGGTGCCTTATCTTATTTGAAACAATTACAAAATCTTTTCCTTTAACGAAACGAGTTTTATCTCAACTTTCTACACGTTGCTTTTCCACATTTTCGCCAAATAATTTGAGCGTCGCTACGATAAGTACTAACAATTAATAGCAGCATCAATAGCGTTTTAACAGTTTTAACGAATTATAGAACATGTCTCGTTTCTGTAAAAGGGGATATTAATTATTCCATTTTTAAGTAGGAATTTTTTTAGTCGATGAGAATCCTACACGGAAAGATCGGCTAAGGCAAAACTAACGAAAATTAAAATGTTGCCGTATAAATAATAGGGGCTACATTGTTTCGCGTGGCAACATTCACTAAGTTTGCTGCACAAAACGCATATAGTTGTCTCCACTACTTATCGTACCAATGTGGGTACGACAACCGCAGATATAGCTGTCCCAAATATTACTATTTATTGGGATTGCGCCAACCCTAATTAGACATGTGGTAGCCATATCGGTCTCTCCGTGTATCTGTATGAAAATTAATATTAATAAACACAAATTTGAACACTGAAAAAAATCTGTTAGATCCAACCAGTCGTCTGTTAGAAGATGGACGAATCAGAATTCCTTTAGGATTTACCAGATGTGTAGTGAAGTTCTAGCAAACTTCTGGTTATGAAATATCGTTCATGGTAAATCCTAAAAGAATTCTGGTAAATCCTAAAGGAATTCTGATTCGTCCATTTTCTAACAGACGACTAGTTGAGTCTATCAAATTTTTTTTTCAGTGGAAAAATGAAGGACTCAAAGCCGTGACAGGGTGTTAGTGTCTAAATATTTCATTCTAAATTTGTTGCGAACAAATATTTAGACACTAACACCCTGTCACGGCTCTTGGTCCTTTGTTCCCTCAAATTTGTGTTTATCACATTTGAGCCATACGAATTTTATTAATTTGTTAATATTAATAACCTCGAGACTGCCTCTTCGCTACTCGCTTGCGTGTCGTCGGGGAACATCGCTGCATCGCAGACAGCAGCTGTTCTTTCCTCCGGCATAGCTCGTGCAACATCGGCACTCCTGCCTATCAGTCGATCCATCGCGGCCACCAATTTCCGCGAATTTCGATTCTCGCGGACGCCAGACCGATTCTCGAGGTACGATAGATCATCCCTCTTGCCGATGGCTTCATTATCGCTCGAGTCATTCTCCCGGCCCGCCTCGCTTTCATCGTTCGCGTAATACTCGTCGTCAATACTCTCTAGGTAGTCGGATTCTCCGCTCGACAACAGTCGTCTGCCGGGTTGATGCCAATCCGGCGGCGACCGATCGGCGCGTTTCTCGCTTGCCGCGAGATCCCGCTCGGTGTCCGCCTCGTTCGATACCGATGATAACTTCCCCTTGATCTTATTGATTATCTTGCGGACGGTGTCGTACACTTTGCCTCGTGGACGTCGAAGGTATTGCCTCCCGGCGGAAACGCGACAATCCGCGGGATTTTCATTAATCTTCCTCGCGTCCTCGCGTCCCCGCTGTCGCGCGGCGAGAAGCGGGATCTTTTTATCGGCACTTTTAGCCGCGACGCCGAGCTCGCGCGTTTCGCCCTTATCGTCCGGTATCATCAATTTCACGCTGCAAATGACAGTATCCGTCTCGCGACTTTTGTCCCGGCTCCCGGGACTTCTTGCGCAAGCCCGTAATATCCCGCCCGCGGACCATTTCTCCCGCGGTTCCGCGCTCGCCGCGATTTTTCGCGCCACCGCGATCCTGCCGATCTCGGCCGCCGTCCGCTCGTCGAACGCCGGTTTCTCCGATCTCCGATCTGTTTCCGATCTCGCGCGCACCGATCCGGAAAGGTCCGTCCGTGACGACGGAATTTTTGTCGGGCCTGAAGCACCGAGCGACGCCGACGTAGCTTCGCGATTCCGCGATGAAATGTCCTTGTCGAATTGACGATCCGCACCATCCTTCACCTGGCGCAGCCTCAAACGAGTCAAGTTCTTCAGACTATCTTGGACGTCTTTCCTTCGCGCGTCCAAATCGAGATTATCTTTAACGGCACGAAGCCCGACGTTACGCGCTGCAATATCTCGAAGAGCGGCATCGAGCTTTTGTGCCTGATCTCGACTTTCGCAACTGTGTCGAGAGGATCCCCGGCTCGCAGGATAATCCAATTCGCCGACTAATCTTTTTTCAATTGTAGAACGTAATTCAGTCGACTCCGTTGTATTCGGGGACTTTTCGTTTTTATTCAAACCCGCTCTTCCACTTGGCCGAGTCTCTTCATCCTCGCTCGCGTAGACGTAGAAGACCGAGGAGTCGCGATTGCCTGCCGCGCGGATAAGGTCCGATCTCTTGCCTCTCGTCTGCGCGACACCGGAAGGAACTGTCGTTGATGAAGTTCGTGCCGAGGAAGTGTTCTGAAAATAATCTGCCTCCGGCTCGTAGCGGTGCTTCCTCCCTTTTCCCTCAGTCCTCCGGGCAGATTGAGATCGGTTCGCTGCAATTAACTGCTGCATTTCCGTAGTGCGATACCAAGGGTGCTCTTCAGCTTCCCCTTTCGCATTCGTCATTTTCATACTCGTTACACGATTGGTAACTTTTTGTGTTTCGTGCTTCCCAGTTCTGCTCGATACTTTTCGTACTTTTGCCCTCGCCGAGGTGTTTGCGTCAGGTCTTCCAGGTCGGAATCTCGGTTTAGAGGCAGTCTTTTCGCGAGTGGTCGTCGTTGCTTCCGTCTCGTCCACGAAAGTAGTCTCGTCCAGAGAGACCTCATCGTGCATCTCTCCCGGGAGCGATGGTGTCGCCAGCGGACGTATCGAAGGACGGAAAGCTACGTCCGTGATCCTGGTGGCGGTCGCCAAGGTTGTCGTGAACCGAGTGACGGTCGTCTCTTCTTCAGGCGGCAAGGTTTCCGCTTCCGTGATCTCGTCGAAAGTCGGCATGCCCGGCATGATGGGCGTGAATGCCGCGTATTGTCTCGCGATTCGATCCACCAGCTCGGCAATTTCCTCCTTTTCCCGGGACCTCTCCAGAGAACTCGCCGAATTTTCCAAAGGTGGATCTTCAGTGTAACGAGAGTCCGCCTCTTCCTCGTTGCTCAACGAAATTTCCTTAGGTTCGATAATCCAAGTACTGCCGCGTGATGGGAGCCCCGAGTCGATCGGCGGGCCTTCGGGCTTCACGAAATTGCCAGCGATAATCCGCGAAGGGCCGTTATTAAGTTCGAGGAATCTCGTGTTTTCCAGTTTATCTCGTTCATCGTCGCTTCGATTGTTCAGCGTTTCAGTCACTTCCTTAGAACTCGCCGAATCGCTAGATAACGTTCTAAGCGGACTATCAGTCACCTCGACATAGCCACTGACATTTTCGCCGCGCGGGATATCCGTCTGCTCCATTGCGAACTCGGTCGCACAAATCGGATTTTTTGAACCATTCAAATCAATTTTCTTTGTAATATTGTAATCCTGCTTTCTCATAATCGACGACGACAGAAAAGGATCGATGACAGGTTTGGAAAAAACGGATGGATGCCCGGACGAATCTTTTCGCGTAGCCAGCGACGTAAGCGTGGCGGCTTCATCGCTCGTCATTGTAGATCCCGTAGTCGCGATAGAGTTTTCACTCGCGGTCAATCGCCGGCGTGTGTCATTTAATTCTGCAGGCCGCTCATGCGTTATTTCATCGTCATGAATCGCAAACAGCTCGTCCGATTTGCCGTTTTCTCGCGAAAACAAATTGTCCCCCGATCCAGCTGGAATTTTAGGGATATCGGCTTTTGCGACTTCGCTCCGTGTAACTACTTCGAAATTCTCCGGAGTTTCTCGAATAATTCCCGTCTCGGTAGAGTCTTCCTTCAGGACGTTGCTTATTCGCACAAACTTGTCCTCGATCCGCTTATCGACGCTGTTCTTCTTGCCGTCTTTATTGTTGAAGTGGAACGGATTATCGTTCTCTTCGGGCTGGACTTTCCAGCGAGAATGACCCGATTCCGAAATCACTCGTTTCTTCGGACCTTCGTTACCAGTATTCGATATATTTCGCTTAGAGCTAGCTGTCTCAGGTCGAGTATAGTAATGTACAAAAGCTTGCGTTTCGCCCGACGAACCTTCACCTGTCAAACCGTCGCCCCGAGCATTCGCGATACTAAAAACTCCCTTTCCGGCTCGGAGATGTCTACGAAAACGTCTCTCGCCCTTCGAAAATTCGTTTCGGAAACTGTCGCGTTCAAAGTCCGACAACGCGCGCTTCCGCGTCGATCCGCGGCTCGGCTTCCCGAAGCGTTTCAGCTCCCCCGCGAGGCCCTTGTCTCCGCGAAACTTGGCGGCGCCCTTCGACTTGCGCAACTTCCGCCGGGGCTTCCAGAATTTGTAACTGTTTTTCAAGTTCACGTCTTTCGGCGCTCGCCCGGCCGAGTTATGCATTCCGCGCGATTCTCGGCCCTTGTACAAATCCCCGAGGTCGCCGGGAAATCCCTGTATCTCGCCCGCCGGTAACGAACCGCGAGTTTTTGACTCCAGGATTTTCGTCAATGATTTATCTTCGGAACGAGCGGCGGGCGCGGATAATTCTTCCAGCCGCGGGATTCCGACGGGAGAGGAGAGATTTCGTAATCTTGTAAAAGCAGGAACGGCCGAGATTCGCGTCGATACATTAGCATTTTCCGTTTTTCCCTCCTCGCCGTTCGTATTATCTCTTTGAATCGCGGCTGCACTTAAGTTCTTCCTCACGGCCGAAGCGTTTCTCAACGCGTTAACGTTATCCGTGATGTTCTTCAACGCCCTAAATCCGTATTGTCTCTCTTCGTCTCCCGTCGACGCCATAATTCGCGATAATAGCGCGAACGCGTTCTCTTCGAAGCTATTCGATCTTGCCGTCGACGACGCGATAGCACAATTAATATCCTCGTCGGTATTGTTTCCGAACGGAATCCCGGGCCGAGTTAAAAATTCAATGGTCGTTGAAAAAGCTCCGTTATCGTGCAACGTGTCGTTGAGGAACGTATTTTTCTCCGTTCGACTCGAAAGGTGACTCACTTCCGGAATTCGCGGGTGTATTGCCAGGGTCGTCGGTGTGTAATCGAAGGTATTTTCTGGCTGAACGCCGCGAGATCGACCCCTCGCCATTTCCTCGCGATTTCCACTTTCTGAAAAATTCGCCGACCTATCGCGCTTCTCGAACTCGAGAAACTCCCGATTATCCTCTTTGCCGCCAATTTTCGTAAAACCCTGTTCACTTTCTAACTTCGTTAGTTTCGTCGTTGGATTTCGAGGATCATCCGCGACTGATCCCCGAGTGAAAAATCGATCGTCGCTCCGACGATCGGCGGATTGCGGACTGGCTTTCCGAGATTTCAGTGCTCTCGAATCATAATCGTCTATATTCGTGAATTTTGTAGTTGTGTCTTGAAGATTATCCGTAATTGGTCCATTGATCGAAGGCCGTCCGTCGCTAATTCGCCGGTCCAGGATCCGTCGATCCGATTTTCGAAATCTATCGTCCGAATCGCCGACATTTCCAGTCGATAAATCGTTCTCGTCCAATAAATCCTTGCTTCTTTTGTCGCTTTCGTGTTTTACAGCTTGCTCCATGGCTCTTTGCTTCATGGCTTGCTCATACACGGCATCGATGTAGGCTTCGATCTTCCCCTTCGGTGATGGATCGGAGAATACGTTCTCCAATACGGACTGCAAGCTTGTCGTGTGATTCGCTCTCCCCGTCCTGGGAAATCCCTCGAGTAGTCGAATGCGCTGTCGGACCGAATTGTTTTTAAGCTGTTCTTTTTCTTGTTGTTGTTTCCGAAAAGGAGACGCTTGCTCGCCAAGTGGGCCATTAACGGCGGAAGTATTGCGGCTCGTTACTCGTCCTCGCGCATCGCCGTTCTCGACTTGGCGGTTGTGTCCCTCCTTCCCGTTCACTTCGACCTGGCGCTGTGCCTCCGAATTGTCAAATAAATTCGCGCTCGACACGGACCTGTTGCGAGCTCTGTTTGTGCCATCGTCCCGCTGGTAATAGTTTGACTTGGCGGCGACCGAGCGGAAACTTTCGGCACGCTGCGCGTCCTCGCAAGAACAGCAGAAACCCTGAAAGCGATCCGTCGTCTTGTTGCGCGCGGCTCTTACTGCAGGGACATAACTTGCCTAAAGTTTAATTAAATGGCCCGCCATTGTCGGGGGAAGTTTGGGCAAACTGTCGTGTAAACGATGGCATCTCGAAATTATTTTTGTCTTTTTGAGCAGTTCGATTCGGCCATGACAAAGGGATAGGTATGAGAAACTATTTTACAATGATAGAGGAAAGTCCTCTATTATGAGATAGGATTCTAATATAAGATAGCAGGTTTTCAACGCCCAAATTCAATCGCAGATCCGTTTTCGCAACGATTACACGATCTAACAATCAATTTTCCACTAAGCAGATTTCCAAGGGCAATAAATTCATGGTGGAATCAACTAATGATGCCTATTAATTTGACAGAAACCCTCGCTATTCATATTAGGACCCTGTCTCATAATAGGGCACTTTACTCTATAAATTTTTCGGAATTTAGCACAACGCTGTCTCCACGCATACATTTTTCCACCTACATTAGGTCGGGGGAGGGGGTGAATTATAGTAGACACCAAGAAAACGGAACAGTACCAACATACTTTTTCTTTGTCATATATCGGATTAAAATTGTTAACTTAAAAAATGACACGGACAATCTTACTCCGATATTTGACAAAATTATTAGCTTGGTTTGCTTTTCTTATATGTGTACATTTGCCACCCAACCTCTGAATACAAAATTCACTAATCAGTCTTTGTCTCACATTTCTCGATTTCGTATGTTGTATACCTGGCTTATATCATTATAAGCTTGTATCATTATATTATATTTATATTATATATTATAACATTTGTTTATATCATATATCATATCAATATTATATCCTTCGCTGAACATTTGATTTATTGTATCTTCGGTAGGCTGCTAACCTAGCCGAAGGAAACCTCCGACCTGGAGGGCTATACCCCTAAGGGGTATGTGTGGCAAGGTACTCTCAAAGGGAAGTATCTTGTGTGGTAAGATACTTCCCTTCGAGAAGTAGCGTCTGAAAAAACCAGCGGTGTTCCTGGCTGGATTTGAACTCTGATCTTTTCGTTTATTTATTTACTAAGCAGCGCACATTTCTCTCCGCCACACTTGCCACGTTAAATTATAAGATCATTTTCATATATTAGTTCCAAGCCACTTTGATTGTAGACCGTGTTCTGTAATCATATTCATTCTAAATAATGAAACTAAAATTTTCGTTTATTGCAGCCTACCGAAGATACGAGTACAATAAATCAAATGTTCAGCGAAGGATATAATATTGATATGATATATGATATAAAATGATTTTTTAATAAAAAAATAGATGAATGCTGTTTATAGATAAATCTTATATCTTTGTATGCGCCTTGTATATTTGTTTTCTATCAATCTTACCTGACTAAATAGTATTGGCTCTCCATCAACTAACATTTGACCGCAAGTTGGGTTCCCTAAACCATCGTTACATCCAGTGAAGTTTGCTCGATGATTATTAATGACTTCTTCTCTCGCCCCCGCATTGACAACCTTATTCAAAGCGATCAATATATAGGAGAAATATGTTTTCTTTCTACTATACGAACATGCGAATAATTAAAACGGCACGAATTTATCATCTGTTAATACGCATTTTCTGTATCAAACGTAGATAATCCAGATTACATTAATGGAAACTATTTTGTCGGCCTCAATCAACAAATCGTTGACGAAACTTAATTGATAATTTATCCACGAGATTCTTCGAGAAATAACTACAGTATTATTGGCAATCAAGATTTTATGTTATTAATCTATATTTGCTGTCGGATGATGGATTTATATGATGTTATTAGCGAAAAATGGTCGCACACATTAAATGTGACGTAAATTAATCAATTCACACACTTACGCCTTGTAATCTCAGTCCATATAGATGCAGGAGAGGTTCTTGGCGAACTTTTATGACGTATGGATTACGCAATCGGATTTTGTGCAATTGTACCGGATCCAATATATGATCCACCAATACGAATTCTTCCCGCGTATTCGTCTAACAAAATATACATATTGTTCCAGAATAATTTCTTATGATAGTAGGCCAAAACTTTAAAGAAAGTTACAATCTTTCATCCGAAATAGTAACTGATTCCACGTAAAAAGTAATGACAATAATCAAGCTTTTTAGTCGACATTAACCGTCCAATGTTTTGATACAGACAATTTTATATGCCTCAGTGGCCAAATTGGTGAGACACCCGCCTAGACAGTAGGGAAGTCCAGGTTCAAACCCTGGCTGAGGTAACATTTTTCGCAATAAATGTTCTGTATTAAAACTGACCGGTTAATGTCAACTAAAAAGCTTGACTATTGTTATTTATTACTGGCAACTTAGAGAGTTCTATGTTTAAAAAGTAACGAGTTCAATAAATTAATGTATATCTAACGATACCTTTCCAACATTTTTAATCTTCATGCTAATAATCACTTTTCTTCTGCACTTTTGTATTGACTGCGTACGCGACGTTTCTCTGCTATCAATACAATAACCAGTGTAATAACAATATAAAAATATCAGGGGGCCACGTTACTATATAAAAACATTTGTTATCAGTCACTTGATAGATTATGCCAATTCTGAGAACGTAAATTGCGTTTGCCTACACTTCTTTCCGCGTTTCCGAACAGCGAACCAAGACAGCTCTGATCTCGATCCACGGATGATCTTGATCGACGAGCGGTCCTTCGAACGAGAAATGTCGACGATCTTCATGTCCAAGTCGTTCGTTGTAAAACTCATGCCGAAGCGATCGCAACGCGCAGTCGGGATTTCTCGATGGATGGTATCGGGGATCGTATCGAAACTCCGATATGTAGGGATGCAAATGCGGGGTAGCGCTTTCGGGATGAGGGCCAATTAACGCGAGTACCATCTGAGTATATATATATTTCAATCGTGATACCAAAAGTAATAAATAAGATTATCGATAATCTATTTCTGTAAATTCGCTCCGTTCATATTAAAACACTTGGTGGATCTTATAAAAATTTATCGTACGATAAATTTCCGTGCGATAAAGAACATGGAAACGAGATTGCCAAATGTGAGTTGATATCAAGAGATACCTGCAGCGTTATCCAAAGGGTCTTGAAAGGGCGCGAATGAGCTGGTGACATGTTAGATTATCCGGTGCGACATTGTTATCACTTGCCGGACTCATTTCGGATGCAAAACGGCATCGCGCGTACTACTGCACGTTCTATCTTGAATCTTGACACAACGCGCATGTCGTAATCATTCAACGGGACAAGCAGACTGGCTAAACTTCCGACCGAATGAACTAAATATTCTCGTAATGCGCACCTTGAAGATAGTAGATTCCCTTGGCGTATTTTAATGCGTAGTTTAGGAAGTCGGGCAAAATCCGTGGATGCAGGGTTATGATTTCATGCGAATCGGAGTGAATCTCTCGATATCAATGATGAAGTTACTCATTTAATAATTCGGTAAATCTAGATCCTTATTTGTCAAACGAAAATTAACTGAACAATGAATGGAATAAAATATGTGCATATAAAAATTATGCGCGAAGCGCGCGCAATGGTAATTTTTTTTTAAATAAAATATTATTGAAGTAAAGAATTAAGATAAATTAATTTGCAATTAAGTACATCTCGAGCCGGCAGGCAGCATATAAGTATGTATAATTACAATTCAAAATTATCAGAAATATTGCGTGTCTGATAACTATACTTGTTAAAATTCTTGATTTCTTGACTGGCGCCACTAAGCTGCTATTTAATTCGTTCATTCAATTGCTGAGGAAGTAAGGCGGTGCTCTAAAGGTAAATTTATAATTTTTCTTCGCGGATCTTGTTCCAGCAGATATAAAAAGACGTATTATTTTACTGCCGAGCTGCAGTTAATTTATCTTACTGCAGCTTAAAAGAACGTTTTTTTTTATCAGTGCCATTATTTAATCAATGCCCGTGTGTCAGTAAAACTGGCAGCTGTCGATTCTCGTCGAGCAAAGACATTTAAACACATTTTCATTCATTCAGAAGCGTTAAAGTGTTTCTGAAATCTACATTTAAGAGACTTTTTAAATCTTTAAATCGTTAGACCACATAATTAAACAGATGATATATAAAATTTCTATATTGTCACGCTTCGTTTAAATCGCGAAGCTGTAATAATAAATCGCAAGAATGCAACAAGTAATCGTCATAACGCAACAACTTCCGCGATGATGGATAAATTGGGGGAATAAGTAAAAAGGAGCAGACAGAGACGAAGTTTTTTTTTCATTATATTTTATTCTGACATTTTAAGATGTATGGACAATTATTACATAATAATTTTATATAATGAAAGGTTCTCCATGGTGGTAACTTTATATAATGAGACGTTTCACTCTTTTTTTTTATTTCATCTTTTGTGTAACGCTCGTCCTTTCTCCTCTGTTGATCATCCCTCTCTTACACATCATTCTTTCACAACGGAAATCAAATAATGATTATTAAACTATGAATGCATCATGAAATACGTGCGCACTTGATTATTGATCAATTAAACGTCATTATTCACTTCTTTTTTTTGTAGTTATCTTTATTATTACCAGTGTGTTATAATAATTACCATTAATCATTATAATTACGATATAATGCTATAATTAATCCTCCCACGCCATTTACTGCATTTTGCCCGCTTTCGACCGTGACAACGGTAGAGAGAGAGCACATTTGTTTAAATGATAGGATGCGAACGTGTCGCGGCTGTTCTCGGCACAGTAAATTTCACCTCGCCTCGCATTATATTCGTCATTATAGTGATAGTATCATTTTCACCGGGAGGCCGTGTATCTTCAAAAGAATTCTCGTCGTCCCTCTCGACTTCTTTTCCGCGAGCGCGAGCCCTTCAGGGCGGCCTAGCCGCGTTTCCCCCCCCCGACTTCCTTTCCCCCTCGCGACAGATAGAAAGGAAAACGAAAAGAGCCGATAGATTAAAATCAATGCCGACGGTAAAAGAAAAATAAGTAGACCGGATAAAAAGTAATCCCCGGAAATCCGCTTGGAAATACGTGAGACGCGCGCAATTATGCTGCATACAGACATGTACACTGGGTCTGCCGGGAATTATTTTGCGGACCAGATCCTCCGACCAGTTTGACGATTTTTTTTTTAAATACTTTCAGTCTCGTTTTAGGTCGACTTTAGCTCGATCTGAAATCGATCGAGGAACAAAGCGTATTCGCGGTCGATCACTTCGAAAGGAGCTTTCATATTTGAAGTATAACGCGATAGTTAAAAGGGAGGCTCTTTCATTCACGATTCGATTTGGCTGACTGCAAATTCGTCGTAGGACTCGTCCGTGAAGTTATCTCCCGGCGGGCCTGGGACACGCCGTGCACCAACTCAAATGAGCGAACAATGTCAGGTATACACGTGTACGTACATGTAGTTATGTTTCTTTTTTTTTGCGTTTTTGTTTTTCTTCGATTATGTGACTAGAAATGCTACACACATACGTGCCATCCATCCGTCCACGCGGCCACACGCATACACACATAAAAGTATGACTTAGCAGTAGTATAACTAATACGTATCTCTATATTTATATATGTATAATTATATATTTGTATGTATAATTATATATATATTACTCAATAGCTTCTACCGGCGGTCTGTGTATTAAGCTAATTTTACAACAATATGGCAATCATAATGAATAATACGACTACGTTATCGCGAGACTACACAGTCAATAACACTAATCTTAGGGACAGTAATACAAAATAAAAGGGCTCTCGTATCTCGGGTACAGTTTCACCAAGCGAAATTACGTTGTGCCACGAAGCAACTCGCGCTGTCACACGGGTTTTATAGACGCGAACGTTCTCCGATCCGTCGCGTGAAAATCCCGCAACTTTAATTCGCTACGAACGTAAGCGGATATCTGAGTATTTCCAATAGATAAAAATACCGACTGAATATTTTTAACAAAAAAATAAATAGCGAGCCACCCGACGTGTAATAATCCAGCTATCATTTTTATAGCACATTTTTCTTGCGCGGGGAAATATTTTTTATCGTCTAAAAAAAGAACCGTCGTTCGCACAAAAAAAACCCCCCCTACTGTTTCACGCGACAAAGTTGCAACGTTTTCACGCGGACGTCCCCGCGCCGTCGCAATAAACAAAGACGAAAAAGTAATTCCTCGTCGATCTCACTCCGCAAAGCATTAGCTGTCGATTCAAGCTCTCCCGCTCTCGCCAAGAGAGCTCGACTTATCTCGGACAAATTCTTCGCGGCATGACACAACTTTCTCCGATTTCTCAGATTTTCAATTCCCGATCAAGTTGCCTCGTCAACGAAATCGCGACCGCGCTAGGCGACTTTTCTCTCGCGCTGGTCTTCCCCGTTTACCGCGATTCGTAGATTGATATGAAAATGACGAATGGATCATTGCGCGCAATCGTCATATCGCTAGGTACTTTTCTAGGATACATCTGGGTAAAAGACTGCCCGGAAAAAAAGACGGTGTTAAATTAAAAGTAAACGCTGCTTTCGCCTCTACAGAAGTAAGATAAACGGAAATGGAACGAGATAAAATAAAAACGACTAAAGAAAAAAATCTCCTCGATTTTATCACAAACGTTCAAACGTGAAGATGTCTGAAAGGTACCGCAGCTTTTCAGAGCTGTCCCACATAAAACGACCCCCTTGGATCGCTCGAGACATTTCGTCGTTAAGCGTGTCGCTTCGAAAGAAAAGTTGAATTTCCCGGTGTTGATGCACGAACTAGGCCACCCTGGCGGGATTATCTCGGACGATGTCCAGGATATCGGATCGTCGCGCTTGGTCCGATCGGTGAAGCCCGTCGCAAGTGTGAGACGAGGGTGAGGTGAAACGAAATGAAATGTACGTCGCAAAGTGTGCCTCGAAGGGAGAGAGCTCGCTTGTACGCCTGTGTCCCCGGCTCATGAAACAGCGGAGCGAAGGACGCGAAAAGATACGCGATGATGAGACTTGCCGATCCCGATCGTGCGGCACGAGCTTTATGAGTGAGTCTCGAGCGTATATTACACACATTTAATATAGTATCACACATAATACTATATTATCGTCATATATTATAGTATTATATTATATATACAGACCCGAGACGTCTGTCCATTCGTCTCGTCGTCGCAGCACGATTCCACTCGTCCTTATCTACCGATTTTGCCTACCGGCTCTCGCGATCGTCGTCCCCGACCGATTAATTTCTAATCTCGGTTACCCCCGGTCTCCACGGATGTCGATCGCTCACGTCGCGATTATGCGAGGCCAGTGGGCAAGTACGTCGAACGGGTTACTCGCTTCGTAGATCCGTCTCTCGACCTTGCCGGAAGATGCCGGTCTTCCGCAGCCTCACGACCGCCAAGTGTCTCGACCTCAACGTTCTGTGTTTCCGTCGGCCGTTCTCTTTCGCGTACGGCCCTCCCGGTTCGCCCGAGTTTCCCGTCCAAGCACTCGTCAAGGAAACACGCCATCCCACACAGAGAAACGTCGTCGCTCACATCGCTTCTGAATTGATTAACTAGCAAGTGAATCGGTAAGACTTACAAATATGTTGTCGCGTACTCCCGTTGCGATCCTCCAACGTCTCGCGCTTGATATCTATGAACATTTTACGTTAATTAAATTTGCGCGTGTAAACCCCCCCTCCCTCTCCCCCGAGATATATTCTCAGTAACACGGTTTCACCGACGTGTCGTCGACGAGCTCCTCGATAGATTGACTAGAGCCGAGAAACGACCATCTTCGCGCATGATTTCGATTTAGTCACGTTGCACCGCGGGTCGTTCGATCCCTTCGCTAAATCTCGGGTTTGCGTGTCGAATCAGTGCGGATGGGCGAGTCGAGCGGCGTTGAAGGGGCGAGGCGGGCGATCTCCCAGTTTTCACGCTCGACCTCGCTTCCTGTCTCGCGTTCCTGATTTCACGCGCCCGCCGCGCTCAAGGAAAACCGCACTGCGGTCAAATCGCGCGCGAGCAACCGGACTCGACCGACACATCCCAACCGATCGCGCCTCGCCGAACGAACCGGTGTCCAAGTCCCGCCCGCGCAATTGATCTTCGAATAATCGCGCTAGCTAAACCTGTCAGAGCGGGTAAAGTTGGTGATTTCACGTTGCTAATCCTCGTATCCCCCAACGCCGGAGACCGATCGGTCGAATCCCCGTATCTCGCGACAACGTCAATCCCGGTCGTGTCCAATCGCTCTCTCGGAACAGAAAGCGCCACAGCTTACCGGTCCCCCTTCCACCCCTCGATATCCTAACGTAGCTAGACTAAAAGTTTAAATCATGCGCATTGGCACGCGCTATTTGGTACGTTTCGTTTGAGACTTCTTATACGTATTTCTCCGTCTTTGGTTTCCGTATAAATATTATATCGCTAAAGTCACAAGGCGCACGATCAGCTCGTCACCCGTCTCGCTGATGACGCCTCGACGCTCATCGACTACTCGTAACTCTACTCGTACGCGCTTCGAAGCGTCGAGCATCGTCTGACACTTGAAAAGATCGAAGAACTTAAGATCGCTAACAAGTAACACGTTACCCTCGACACTCGTTTCCAGCGTCACCGGCATTTTGTCGTATTCGTATCTGGGGCTGTTATAAATCATAGCGGTTGGTGGCCCACAGAATAGCCCACGCTCGATACTCCCGAAGGGAATATCTCAACTCTTGTACGAGGTCCAAAAGATGTTTACAAGTTGTCTCGGAAACGTCTCAAACGTTCGTATCGCGCAAGCACCGTCCCAACATTCGAGAGCGCGTTCGTCTCCAAGTATCAGACTAGCGCCGAGTATCGGCGCCCGATATCTTCGAGCGATTCGCTTCAAATCGCGTTCGTCAGCCCTTGATGTATCGCGCGACATGTTCGCCCTTGCCACCCGTCTTTTCGTCGGGCAACCTATCGTCGTCTCTCTCCTCGAAGGACCCTCGCACCGATCTCCTGATTGTCCCGATCGGACGACAAGACGGGCTCGTCATCTCTGGTCTCTCGTGCGATCGTACTTCTCGTTGTTCGATCCGCATTTGATTCTTCCGCCCGTCCCGTCCCGTGCCCTTTCGTCCTCTCCCTTTCTGACGAGGTAGCAATCGGAGTAATCGAAACGTAACGATGCTCGTCATCGGTGGCTCGTTTTCTTCTTCTTCTTCTTCTTCTCTCTTTCTCTTTCTTGCCGGTATCTCCCCCAACGGTCCCCCGTGTAATAAAATATAACTTATGCGAGATAGCGTCGAGTACAGTACGATTGTGCGCAACGAGATTCTTACTTTGCCTGTACCGGAACACGGTTACGCACGTGCTGGTGCACGCGCCTAAATGTGAGGTCCCATGTGTGTGCAATGCTCTCGTACACTCCCCACCCTCCCCCGTCCTCGCCCAACCCTTTCTTTCCGTGCACTGAACCTAACCACCAGTATTGTCGGTACGCCCCCCTCTACCCACCCACCCCCCTCCCAGTAGGAAAAGAAAACGAAAAGGAAGAAAAACGAAGCACTTAGAAAAATACACTCTCAGGACTCCCGCGAGTCGCCGCAGGCGTGCGCTTCACGCGTGCGCGCGGGACGTCCCAGAAATTGTGTACACGCAGGTACGTGTGTCCCTGCTACGAACGCACGGTGCGTCCACCGTGAAAATGTTTGAATCACTGCCAGTAATTTGTCGACAATAATCCTCGTTCGCAAGAAGTCTCGCTGTTTCGCAAAATTCTTTTCCCTCCCCCGTCGACAACGGGATGTCGCGGATCGTTTCCGCGCGTAGAAATCGCGTGACTCTCCGTCTACCCCGGACGCTCCCGTCGGGGAAATTTCGCGGAGCGAAACGGACGATTGGGAAAGTCGCGAGGATTTCGAGGGTCGACACGTTCTGTATACACTTGGAATTGGTGTACGTGCGCGACGATGATAGGTATACTATACATGACAGTTCTGCGACGATCGTTAACGAAGGGAATAAGTTTTCTCCAGCGTGACAAATAATTTATGCGTGTGCGTTATGTGTATGTGCGTATGGATCGACATTTGTGACTATAATTTCCCGTGCCTAGGAATATCCCGTGTGCGTGGGTCGTCGTATTAACTGCGTGGTAATTGCATGACGTATAGAAATGACGTAAAGTAAAAGTAGAAGGGTCTAAACCGTTACGTTACGTACAAGTAATCAACTGAGCTTGGTAGACGCTTTTCGCGATGTCGACGCCGTTGCTCTCTTATAAAATTGTCACGCTTGCCCTTGAGCCGCTCTCCGCTTATCAAAATGCAAATCTGGAAAACGCTGTCGGCGCCCCCCGAGAGATACGTTCGATCGCGTGCGAATTCGTTCCTCGATAAAAGGAGAGACGTAAGAGAATATATGAACGTGTATATGTGTATATATAAACCGAAACTCCGAGTGCGCTTAGTAAAATCTGTGTGCGAAAATCGTGGGAAAAGGTCTCGACTCGCGTGCGTGGCGCGCACGCGTGACACTTGCTCTCCTCCTGCTCCACGTGGAGCGGTCATGGAATATACTCGAGCGGTTTCTATAGCGAAACGAGAACGAAGCCGGAGATCACGAAAAGAGCCCTCGACGACGGTCCTCCAACGTCGACAGAGCCCAAGCTTCGGTCGAGGAGAGTCCGCGACCCTCTCAATTTTGTACAGGATTCGCGTTTCCATCACCAACACGTCGACGATCAGAGATACAAGCACAAGAACAATTAAGAATCCCTCTCGTTTCTCCGGCGCGTAGGATCGTGACGTCGCCCGTGAAACCGCCTTCGATCGCGTCGGTTCTCGTTTTCCTGCGAAAACGACTTTTCTGCCCCGGTCCGAGGGTCGGAGCCAACGATTGGTGGCCCGCCGTCTCGTCGCGGAGCACGCGTTCCCTCGCGCAATCGATCCTTCCTTCCTCGCTGCCTTCGCCGAGGAGCGTGCCGTTTCTCCGACCGACGTCACGAACGATTGAAGACGTCGGTTTCTCGGAGATTCGTCAGTTATAAGACAAGACAAACTAAATGTTCCGCTACGCTTCTGTGTAGCGCTGATAACGAAAGGGGTCGTCTTTCTCTCTCTCTCTCTCTCTCTTTCTCTCTCTCGCTCTTTCTCTCTTTCTCGCGTCGGAGTGGAACCGAGACGAGCCACGAACTCATTGAAGAATATCGTCCGGCCAGCCATGTCATGGGTACGTTTTTCCTCCTCCGTTTGCGCTTAACGTAGAATACAGAATTAGCCTAGTAGAGACCGCAGCCGCGCAGATTATTGGCGATAATGACGTCTGTGACTGCGTCGAACACAAATTGAATGTTGTTCGTGTCGGTGGCACAGGTCATGTGGCAGTAAATCTCCTTCGTGGTCGACTTGTTCTTCGCTTCGAACTGTGCCTGGATGTACGCAGCCGCTTCGCTGTACTCCTGCGCACCTACGGCGAGCATTCGGCGTCTCGTTAGCTTACTTTAGCGTGAGATAGGCAATAGCGCGTATTATAATAAAATTTACCAGCGTATTCGGGAAAACAGATTGTAAGAGGAGACTTGCGGATCTTCTCCTCGAAGAGATCCTTCTTGTTCAGGAAGAGGATAATCGAGGTGTCGGTAAACCACTTGTTGTTGCAGATCGAGTCGAACAGCTTTAAACTCTCCTGCATTCGGTTCTGTAAAACGTCAAAGGCACGACATTACAATCTCGCTCGTTCACATTCGCGGATGCAGCTCCCGCGGACCTGACGCCCCCGTCATTGTCTCTTTCCGCGAAACACGATAATTAAATCGATTAGATCGCGGAGAAGCTAATCGGGGGGGTCACGCTTATGTAATAATGACGTCGGTATAAATAGCGTCCGAGTGATTCAAGTCCGTGACTGGTAGGACTCGCTCTCCAAACGTGATATTGTATTTAAAGCGATCCTCGTCAATGACGGACGTGGTTTCACTTGCCGCCGCGCATAATCCGCACAGGCTGCGATGGACCGGCGATACCGGGTCACGAGACGTGCACCGTAAATGGCAATTAACGCGGCGGTAGGACGACGACACGCGTGTGTCACTACCGCACGCGAGCAGGCGAGTTCAACGGAACCTTCCCACGTGCAGCGACCCCGGCAATTGAACCCTTGATTCCTCGGGGCGTCAGTTACGTGTACTCCCCCGTCGCATTCCTAATTTGGACGTGATACTCTTCTGACGGATAGCAACGCCGTACGTTCAACCTCGTCTGTCAACCGTGCCCGGCGCCGATTATCCCGCATTCTTAATGCAACCGCATGAACGCGCGTTTTACAGTCCAACCCGATGAAAAGAGGGACCGTTTGATCTCTGCCATGTCTCGTACATTGAAAAAACGCGACGTGTTAGAGCTACGACGAGACATTGTTTCTCGAAATAAAAATATTACAACGTCAGTGTTTCCTTGACCATGTCTGGCATTTTTAATAGTACAGAAAATTTATTGCGAAAAATGTTACCTCAGCCAGGGCTTGAACCTGGACTGCTAGAATGTAAGGAAGTCCAGGTTCAAACTCCGGCTGAGGTAACATTTTTCGCAATAAATTTTCTGTACTATTAAAAACGCCAGATATGGTCAAGAAAACACTGGCGTTGTTAATTACTGCTGGTGACAATTAAGGATAATCTTATTAGTTGCAAATATTACGTTTATAAAAGTACTTTTTATATAAAGATATCTTTTGTAAAACGTATTACTTGAAAATCATGAAGAGATTTAAGTCAGAAAATTCACGATCGTGTTTAGAATTCGTACGGTGAGTGGGACGTCGAGAGGGATAAACCGGCAACTGGTATTTACCGTCGTCTCGTCCTCGTGCAAAACCTGATCGTACTCGGACATTGCCACGCAGAAGATAATTGCAGTCACATCCTCGAAGCAATGTATCCATTTCTTACGCTCGCTCCTCTGACCACCCACGTCGAATAATCTAGAAAAAAACAGAACGCAGGGATAAAAATGGCTCGATTTCGCCGTTTTATTCCCCGACTCTTTATTTCACTTGTCATTTTCCCGGTGCGTAACGTCGGGACGTTATTAGAGAATAATCTCGATGAATGAAACGTCTGCGATCGCGGGCGGGCTTTACGCGGCTCTGTCTCGATGCGTAATTAGATCTCAATCGGCACTTGATACCGCTGAGAGGCCAGCACGGTTGATTTAACGCGGCCATAATTATCTCGACACGCGTTTCAACCACTAACGACGCTAATTTCCGACCCTGCCCGACAAACGGCAATGAAAGAAGTATCGGCCGCGCTATACACGACTCATCGCTCGGCTACGTTCCAAGCAAACGCTCGAATTATCACGGTAATGACTCACGCGCCGACCATTCATAACGAGGTGGCCGCCTCGCATCTCCAGGACGCCGCGAGATTACACAAATGAGTCGGCATAAATGAGGCGAGAACGATTGATACCGTCACGCGCGGAACGATCCTAATTGAAGCCGCGAATTTGCTACGAAGTATCATCTATCCGTCCACTTCGAACCGTCTCGTGCGGACTCTTGTGCGACTGTACAGTGACGGACAGAATGGTCGCGACACTTTTTCTCAAGTGAGTTCAGGAACTCGAGAAATAGAAACCGGAAACGCTCGGAACGGCACCGGAATGGCCATCGAGAGGAAAATTTCTCAAGGAGGAGGGCTTCGAAACCCTCAATCTAAATGCACGTTTCTAAACTCGTTCCAACAAAAAGTGTCGCACTCTGTCCATCACTGTGCAACCGAAAATAAAAGCCCGACTCACTTGAAGTTGAGGTTTTTGAATGAAAAATGGACTTCCACGATTCCCGTCGTTTTCACTCGGGTCCTGAGAATATCCTGTTCCGTTGGCTGGTATTCCCTCGCTCCTAATCGATCCAAGTCGTCCAGGAAGCTGTAAAGAACAACGGATTTGTAAAGGGCGCTGCAGAATTGTGACTCAGTATATTTGCACATTTTGATACCAAGGGTCTTTCAATAATACCATTGTAAATTAATTATTTCGTACAATTTGTTGTCTGGGTGGCAAATGTGACGCTGAGAAATGTGCGCTGCTTAGTAAATAAACGAAAAGAGATCCGAGTTGAAATCCACGGACGCCGCTGGTTTTTTTTTTTTCGGAATCTCCCGAAGGGAAGTGGCAACCACCGAGAGTATCTTGCCACACGTATCCCTTTAAACCTCCAGATAGGTTTCCTTCGGCAAGGTTAGCAGCCTACCGAAGATGAAGTAAAACCAAATGCTCAAAGTACCAGAACGAGAACTGGATAGAACAGGCTTTAAGCCTAATACGCGAGGAGGAAGAAGAAGAATTTGTTTCAACTTGTTACATTCCTTAAAGAAACGAAATAACATCTTTTTTAATTAACCCCGATTTATCCACGTCCAAACACGGTTCTTTCGCGTCTAAGCGTTTTCACCTTCGGTCTCCGTTAAATTGTAAGGACAACAAGCCGCTGACCGACTGCTACCGATTGGTTAACAATAAATTTGCATAAAAAGGACGCTTGTTAGCATCAAAAGTTAAGTCGACTTGAGCGTGTGGATTTACTGCTCCAACAAAGAGCCCGTGTTTCAAGACCGAGAAAAATCGGCGCGCTGTTTACGGAGCTGGGGAAAGTATCGTACAAAATTCGCACGGGAATGTTATCATTAGACCACCGGAGGATTCAGCCTGGGCGAAAGTGGTCTAGAATTAATTTGGAAATTAACATCTGTTTATACAACGAGTCTCAGACACGATTCCTGAGCGGCGAGAGCGTACGCGAGGTGGGAGCTAGAACGCGGCTCGCAACAAGTAGCTGGAAGCGAGCGGATATAATAAACGGCGTAACTCTAATCAGGTCTTCGTGAACTGCCGTGCGAACTGGCCCCGCCGCGAGGAAACGCTTCCGCAAACGCGTCGGAAGTCTCTCGCCGATCGAGAGAGCCAGTACACCGTCGACGATACACTCGCGACTCTAATTATTTTTCTCCCCGTGATAGCGTTTCAGAACACGGTGCCACTTGCCGGAGCTACCGGCGATGTTCAAGCGAACGACGAGAGCGAAATTTATGAAACCATTTGAATCCTAATTCTTATCGCAAATTACGCGTTAGATAAATTTCATTGGCGGCTTAACGACTATACTTTTCGTGTTGAATACGAAATGTTGAATGCGAGTGTTAAATATTGAATGACAGAGGATGAATATGTGTTGAATGATAAGCATTTAGCAATGATAGCATTACAGTTGACGCTACGAATAACGACTATTGCTTTATTCCAAAGCGAATCGTCGTCGAGCGAAGCCGATTCGATGCAATTTTAGATAATTGCTAAAAAAAAAGAGAGAGAGAATCGACGGTTCCTCGTACCGGTAATTAGAATCACCGAACATTTTTCAAGAAGCGAAAGGGGGAAGGTAAAAGGTTAGGTAAAAGCGCGCAGCGCCATCTTTCCAGGCCTCCGCTTGCGGCGTTTAGGGGTTGCGAGATGAGGGTTGCGAGATTCCTTCTGGCTTCCGTAATGAGAAAAAAGGAACGAGATGAGAAAGGGGAGTAATCGGAAGCAGATGATGAAGAGGACTGATGAATTTCTGACTAGGAGGAGAGAAAGAGAAAGAGGAAAGTAATAGTAAAACAATGAGCGAATGGAAGATGGAACGAAAGGGTCCAGAATACGTGGGAACGAGAGAGAAACTGCACGAGAGAGAGAGAGAGGGGGGGGGGAGAAAGAGAGAAAGAGAGAATGCGCAGGAAATGGAAGCAAAGATCGAAGCACGGGGGAATCAGGCCGCCATGAAGGATTCGGCGATTCAGGACACGCCAAAGCCGAGACGAGCGAGCGAGTCCTGGTAATATCTCCCCGGGGAAAGAAGGAGCTTAGATTTTTCCAGCGGGAGGGAAAGAGCAGGCACGCAGGGATAGATAGACGTGAATAAACCGGGCAGAAAATAGGAGAGAAGGTGGTAGTTTCGCCGGAACCCGATCGGCCATCTTGGTCGTATGCCACGTGACACGGGCGTGGCGTGACGTCATCTGCGATCAATAATGACGAGGTGCGCATGAGGGAGAGGAAGAGAATCCCCGAAGAAGACGGTAAAGAGAAAAGAAGAGGAAGGGAGGGAGAGAGAGAGAGAGAGAGAGGGAGGGAGGGAGGGAGAAGGAGAGAGAAAGACTTGGCGCGCATTTCTCGTAACATTTCGGACTATCGGAGCTACCCCTCCCTTCCCGTCGTATCATCATCCCCCTCCCCTATCCCTCCCTTTCGCGACCCCGTGTTCGGGCAAACCTGTCGCATCTCCCCCGGCGCTCGCCCCTTCGCGGCTTCGTCCTCGGGAAATTCGCGTTACCCTCTTCCGGCCTGCCTCGCGAAACGAAATTCCCGCGGCAGTTTCCCTATATACCGCGGAGAGAGTTCCCGAGGGTTATTCAAGAAAATCTCGTCCCTCTTTCCTCGGAATGTTTATTTTTCGGGTTTCAAAGGACCTACATCTTCGCTCTTGATGAGTCTTTGAACTCAACCGCGATTGAGTTGTCCCCCTCGCCAGGTGGAATATCGAAGAAGCGGAATATTCTCAGGAATTATAAGCAAATTGCAAACCGGGCGAATTCTCTCAATTAAATTTTACGTAACCGAATTATTTTTCGTTTCTCTTTTCTTCCTTTTCTCTTTTAGTGGAACACGAGCATTCCGGGAATCGGACGGGCAGGTGATATAAGTGGCACTTGTACAAGGGGAAAGAGAAAAATCAAAAATTTCACAGAATTCGCTGGATAGAGACGTTGCGTCAATATTTCGCGGAAATCTCGACATTCGCAGCAAGCGAAGGGAAAAATTTCTTCTCCGGCCATTTCTCTTCTAATTCCCCTCGACACGAGGTTTCCAGAATTAACGACACGGTCGTGGCACTGTTTCGCCTTAAAATGCCAAGCGGCGCTAGTCTATTTGTATAAATTTCAACTATTAATACCAGCACGGTCATTTGTGATCTATATATAGATACGGTGGGTAGTTGAGGCACAATCTTTTGTGCTATCGCAAATATATTTTCGAGCGCAAATAATTGATACCAATGGTCGGAAAGTGAAGCCGTGTTTTGCATTTCTCGCGACTGCGGTTGCGAATATCGTCGTTTTCATCAAACAGGCGTCGACTTTCGCTGCACACAATTATTAAGGGCGGTAGGGTCTCCTCGGTGAATTATATATTAAGCAATGGCGCGCGCGCGCGAGCGAGCGAGAGAGGAGAGAGAGAGAGAGCGTAGTTGCGTGTGCAATAAGTGTGCTATAAGCGATATATCGTGCAACCCGGTGCGAGACCGCAGTGCGGTTTATTAAAGCCAAGAACGGCGCCAGAAAACGGCGTGTGTCCGCGGCGGTTGAGAAAGAGAGACCGTCGCCTCTCGTATTGCGTGTAGACGGATCGTGCATGCCGCGATCGGGTCCTGCCGCTAATCACCAGCGACAGGACCTCGCAACGGTGACCGCACGGCGGCGACGTGGCCATACGTGCCACCCCCGGCGAAATTGCGCGCGATTAAATCCTTCGCGGCCAACTTGTTTGCACAGGCACTTTGATTTCTCTCGCCCCCCCGTGCAAGGGGCGGGTGGAGCTCGTGCGAAATTATTTTGCGTTGGCTCACGAGAACGGGTGAAAGTCAAAGACGAGCAGAAAACTTGGACAAAGTTAAAACGTGGAGGCTGTCTATTCAGTCTGACGGGCGCGTTGATTCTTTAACTCGTGGAAATAATTTCCAACGCCTGTAGTCTCGCTGTCGTGGAAGTGAAAACGTAGAGGAGTCGTGTTGTTGCGAAAATAATTGCGGATAATGTTGGAAGAGCGGACCCGTTCTTTTTTTAACCGCGTTATTTGCGATCGGCTCGCCGAGTGTCGTGATTCGACTTTATCACGAGGAATAGATCCGCAATCATTATTACGCGCGCTCAAAGCATCCTGTAATAAAAAAACAGCCGTATGCTTAGCGGAGATAACTGATGAAAGTATTGGAAAACGGCACTACACCGAGATATACAAGCGCTACTACAAAATCAATATCCAGCGAAGGGGGCAGCGCGGAAATATGCCTGCGAAACGCACCGGGAGGGAGAGGAGGGACGGCAAGTCTCACGTTCAGGATGAGGTTCGCTCCTACTGCTCTCCGCCCTTCCGAGCACGCGAATTCTCAAGAGTGAAATTCAACCCCCGAATACCTTCCCCGTGACGCGCGACCGCAGGCCGCGGCAAGAATCACCGGGTCCAAATTTCGCGCATTAGCGCGCGTGATTCTCGTTCATAAAAAAAAAAACTGTCCATATGTAACGAAATAATTCGGTTACAATACAGTTAAACAAATTTCTAAGGCCGGTAGTTTATATAGTCGATTCTTATCTCAATATCGTCTTACACACAGAAAAATATTATTGTACAGTCAAGAAAAGTAATTACTCGGTTTATTTTATTCCGTTTAAGTAATAGTTTGCTTTAACAAAGAATATTTTCTTAATAATAGTTTTAAGATATACTTGTTACTAGTCTTGGAAAAGCTTGCCATCTTATACTCAAAGAAAGAATTTATTCTTCTTTGAAGAAAATTATAAAACTTATTGAAGAATTCCGTATGCTTCTTTTAATAAAATCAGAAGAAACAAAATTGTTTTGCTTCAAATAATTCTATGTATTCTTGTTTGAAATACTAGACTTACTAAGAACCAGAATATATTTTGAGGAAATATAACACTTGCGACGACATTATGATAGATTTGCGGATATATAAACTTATCAAATACTTGGAACAAATAATCTTTACTTGCAGGTAGTTATTTTTCTGTGTGTAAGGGGATACCGGCCCAAGCATTTCCTTCCTTAGAAATATATAATTACAATTAAAATATAAATTATAATTATATATATATGTAATTTAGTATTAATTTTATATGTAAAATTTACCAATATCCCGACTGGCAGTTTTGCAGCGGAATTGATTATATTTCGAGAATACAAACAAGTTGTATTGTTGCTTACGACGCGAGAAAGTTTTGGGATTTAAATCGTTGGAGGAATAATCGGCACTTACTATTTCGCGGAGTCGTTCAACTGATACTCGTTGCTCCTGCCAAAGCACTCCTGCACTCCATTATCGGACCACAGCCTCTTCATAGCCGCCAGCAGTTCTTCGCTAAAGGGTTCCGTGTCTTCCATTCTTTGTATTACGTCGAACACCATTTTTGCGTCCGTCTGCAAGCACGGGAAACATGTAAATCCTTACAAGAATCACAGAGCTTGCTCCGTCCCAGTTTTCGCCGAACGCCAGTTAATTCCGTACTACAAATAACAGTGTAACATTAAGCAAACATTGCGCGCATTCGCGTATTCCCGATAATCTAATTACTTAACAGGAATAATTAGTCGAATTTTTCGCCGCGGCACAAACTGCACAGGCGTCAACTTAATTTCTGACGTAAGATCAATATTATTTGCATAATTGATGTTAGCTGCATTTTAAATATGATTTTCGCAATTTGTCCGAGGTGCAGTCTTATTCATTAATGCCTGGACCTCACATCCTCAAAAAGGATTTCTGTTACCGAGACAAAAAATATTCTTGACGCATTTATATTTGTCGCAACCTCATTTAGTATAAAAATAAGACAATATCAAAGTAAAATCAATAATTCTTATTCTCCTCTATCGAATTAAAAAAAGATTGACTTACTATATTGAGACAAAAGCGACTTTATATATTCTTGCGTTTAGAATAAATTCCATCGTACAACGCACGAAGTTGGCACCGCGATATTCGACAAAAGACGATACATATAATACTATTATTTTATTCTACATTTTAGAATTTTTCATTTAAGATAAAAATATTACTTTATAATAAATATGATTGGCGCTACAGCGATCCTATTTTATGATACATTTAAGTGTAACAGCATTGGATCCGGAAATTTTTTCTGTGGGTGCAGTGTCACTAGGATTCACATTTGCATGATTTTTATTCCCATCTATACATCGATGAGTTTCAGGCTATAGTTAACACAGCTACTATATAGTAGAAGTCTATGGCAGTACCATAGACATAATATAGCTAGACTGAGGATTGAGCAGTGGGGGCAGAGGTTCACGTAGAAAAGGACAAACTCTGTTTTGTGCTATTTCGTTCTCTCTCGTTCGCATGTGAACAAGAGAGTGAAATAAAGGCAAACCCTTCGTCTAGATATATTATGTCTATGGGTAGTACACACATACAGCCTGAAACTCAGTGATTTGTGGATGAGAAAAAAATGGTGGTAAAAGGTGCAGGTCCAGACATTAATGAATAAGACCGTACACAATAATTAAATAATTTCCTAATCCGCGCGCACATGCAAAGAGTTCTAGATACGTGTCGAGGGAAGATAATCGACAATTATTCGTGCACGATCTTGGGACACGCGGCATCCGGCGAGTCGGGGCCGCCTTACGCGCTTTAGACGGCTAATCAACCAGGCAGCACGTTACGATTCGCCGTTGAATGCTTCATTCATTAGATAACCGTCGGCATGTAGTAAAGCACATTCTGGATGTCACGTCATGCCGCGCGAGTTAAAATGGTCGATACACAACATTTAAATAACACATGAGATCTATGCGACTGATACGCGTGTTACGGAACCGTTTCCATAATTTTGCAGTTGACATTTCATTGAAATTAAACGAGCGATACGCGCGCGGATATACCCCGGGTATGGATGAGCGGGCATAAAGGTGTCGCGCGCGTTAATAAATTACATTCCGGAAATAAAAAGGTAAATTATTGACGAACCTTCTGCACGCGAGCGACCATCCTGTTCCCGGGCGGTCGAAAACAAAAGATTCGCGAACTTAAGAAAATTGGAAAGGCACGTCTTGCTAATAGCGAATTCGGTTGGTTGCACTAGTGCGCACTAAGCCTTGTTTCCGGTCAATTCTTATATTTAAAGATCATATTAAATACCTCTTACAATATTTCTTAGACGGAAAAATGGTCTGTACAACGTTTACACGAATCATTTTTTGATTAAATACTCTTTGAACATGTAATTTAAGACAAAGTTAAATATAAGAACTGACTATAAACAAGCCTTAGTGTGCACTCAGTGCGCACTAGTGCAAGGCCTGTGTCCACGATGGACTTGGACCAAGTTCTAGCATCGTGAACTTGGTCCAAGTCCATCGTGGACACAGGCCTTGGAGGCCCGAACGCGCGAAAAAACCTTTGAGCGGTGAATTTAAGACTTGAGGAAAATGACCACCGAGAGTCAAGAACGTGAGCAGCCATTTTGAAACTCGGGCAATGCTGAAAAAAAATTTCGATTGGCTGAAATTCTTAAGTCTCAAGTTTCTACGCGCGTTTCCGGCTTAATGCGTGGACGCGATCGAACTGCGAAAGCGAAACGCGATGCGTCCGATGGAACGCAGATGTGCGTCAAACGTCACCGGAAATTACCCCCGGGAGTTATTTTGAAGTGACCACCAAGATGTGCGTGCGGCCGTCGCGCGTGTTATACATTCGAAATTTATAGTTCGGCGGAATCTCGCCGACAACGAGCCCCCACATTCCGGGGCGTTCGGGTAGACAGAAGTTGCACATTACCTCTCGCTCGTTGGTTGAAAAGCTGATGCCGAGATTAGGCATTGCTCTGAGAATAGCGACTAGAGATTGTATCGTGTTACTGTATACGACGGGCCTGTACTGCTTGAAGTCTTCCGGCGTGAAGCCGCTCTCGTGGATAATTCTGAAAGCAGAATCGCACACGCGTTAGCACGTGTCCTCCGCGATGCGAGACATCAAACGCACCGGGATCACAGACTTGTGTATATTACACGGCGAGAATTTTCCCTCTTACTAACATGTATGGTAAAATATCAGAAACCTCTCGTAAAGTTCTTCAAAACGCCATGTTATCCTACGATTGCACGATTTTCAGGATAATTTCTAAGGGAAAATTCTCTCCGCGTAGTAACATTTCGCTAGCAAAACGTACGGTAACATTTAAAAAAAAAACTCGCATGGAGTTGTTCAAAATGCCATGTTGTCCCAAGATTTTCAGGCGAAATTTCAAGAGAAAATTCTCTCCGTGTACTAGACTGCTACTTTCGAGCTGAATAAGTGAGGCAGAAGTTCCACGTCTTGTTAGGTACATAAAGCGATACTTTTCAGCTCGATCAAGGTAGCAGTCTAGTAGTAAAAAGAAGTCTGTGACCGGGACGCGTCTCCTCGCCGTAATTATTAGGACAAGGGTGATTAGTTGGAGGCGTTTGCGTAAAAAAAAAACCCCCCGCGGAGGAGGAGACGAGGGGCTGCGCCTGAGACAGGAGCGACTTTCTAAAATGTGCGCGGGGAGGGTAACGTCGACACTCTTGCCTCACTTTTCAGCTCGAAGGTAGCAGTCTAGTAGTAAAAAGAAGTCTGTGGCCGGGATGCGTCTCCTCGCCGTAATTGTTACGACAGGGGTGATTAGTTGTTAATCGCAAATTAGTTCTTTTACGCAAACGCCTCCAACAGGGGTGATTAGTTGGAGGCGTTTGCGTAAAAGAAAAAAAGAAAAGAAAAGCCCCTCCCGCGGAGGAGGAAGAGGAGGCAAGCGGCTGCGCCTGACACAGGAGGGACTTTCTGAAATGCACGCGAGAAGGGTAAAACGTCGACACTCGCGTCCATCCGATACGATCCGAGTGAACAGACGCGTGTGGGATGTCCCACTTGATTCTAAGTGCCTCCGACTCTCCTCGCGAGGAGTTTGCAGGCGCGCTGTAATATACGCGTGTCACGTGCGCAACGGCTCGAATTAATATATGCCACGTAGGGGCGCCCTGTGTAAACGCATATATGAATTGCAATGCGCGCTACATGCAGCTCCGTGACTTACACGAGTGCCCATGCACGTCGTAACAATGTTTCGGAGTCAACACAGGTGAATTATAGAGTCGGCGATGCTATGTATACAAGCGAAAACACGGTGTAGCATTACGCGGAATAGATCTATGTCCGTACCAGCGGGTTAAGTATACTTATCTATATATAATCGCTCGCGAAAATATTCTGGATGTGATTTTCGGGAGAGCGAAAAACAAAGGCGTAAATTCACCCGCACACCCGAGTGTGTTATTTTTATGCGCTTAAACGCGCGACGTGTGACTTGATACACATCGTTTTGCACGTTTCCGGGCGTTTAAAGTGACGTATAACGAGTCACGTGTCGCGATTTTAAACTGCACAGCGTGTAAAAAGTGCCTACGCCAAATGACACGTTATGCGTCGTCGCAAAAGTAACGCGCTTGGATTTGGAATGCGTATACGCATATACTCGCGTGTATATTCGTTAACGCCTGGACCTGCAATTTTTACCATCATTTTTCTCATCTACAAATGACTGAGTTTCAGCCTGTATGCATGTACTACCGCAGACTTCTATAGAAGCTGTGTTAACTACACTCGGGGAGAAAATACTAAAATATCTCATTATATCCAATTCTAAAATCAGCAGATCTTCAGAGATCTGACACTTTTATTGAATATTCAATGTTATCGTCCATTGGGATCTAACTATGTTCTCTTAGGACATTTAATTGCAGATTTAGTTATAGCGAATTCGGTTGCTTGCACCAGCGCGCACTGAGAGCACGCTTGTTTACAGTCAATTTTTATGTTTAAGAATCGTCTTAAATATCTCTTGAAATATTTCGCAGCCAGTAAAATGATCTGTACAGCATCCATACGGATCATTTTTTTGCAAAATACTCTTCGAACATATGTTTAAGGCAAAGTTAAATATAAAAATTGACTATAAACAGGCCTTGATGTGCACTCGGTGCGCACTAGTGCAAGCGATCGAATTCGCTATCTCAATAGTTAGTCTCGAACATTCAAGGAAGGTGTCAAGTCTCTGAGGCTCTGGTGATTTTTAGAATTGGATCTCGTGAGATATAATTGGATATTACACGATCGAGACTGTTTTTTCCACCTTTTTCCGGGCAGCCTGAAACACATCCATGTATAGATAGGAAATGTGAATCCTAGTAAAACTGAGGTCCAGGCATTAACACATATAGGACTGTACGTGTTCGAGAGAAGCGCCGAAGGCTTTGTAAAAATTAATTAAAAACTTGCGTTCCAGCGCTAATTAACTTTCTCTCGCCGTACACGCGACGTCGCACTCTTTATAGACGTTCGAGGAACTTTGGTAGAGTAGCTTTAACCCTTTCGCGACCGCTGGGACGTGTAAGTTACGCTCACTTCTTTCAAGAAGACTCGGCGATTTGGCGCGCATCTCATCGCGGAAAAACGCATTGTGTCGAAACGAAATTAAAACAACTCGGTCGCGAAAGGGTTGGTCGCGTCACGTGTCCCCGCGGCTTTCATTCCCAGACGTAACGGTGAGACGGGCGCGCGGTCCGGCCGCTTTAATTAACGTGTATTAATTGCAATTTGCGGAACGATATTTTTTTCTAACGCAATTCCTATCGCCGTGACAACATTTAACGGCGTATTAATCCCGGCAAGGAATATCGCGCTGTCCATTACGTTAATAAATGATACAGAAACAGCGCGGCGGCGTCCGCTGTTTCGAGAGTAACGATATTAACGACGGCGGCACGGAGAGCGGCTATGTTACGCACGCACACACCGCTGGATTTATGGCCGCTCGCACGCGAGAGGAGGAAAAAAACCGGGGGCGTAAGAGTGTGCGTGAAATCAGGCTACGCTCGTATCTCGAGTACCGACTGTCCCGTTGCATTATGCGCGGCCCAATAAATTATGCAGCCCGGCGTACAGGAGACGCGGTTGTACGCGAAGGCTCCTGTTTCGGGAACATTACGAATCTACGAGTTTTCCGCCGGGCGTCCGTGCATCGCCGAATAACGCGACACGCTTTAGAGTAACCCGTCCTTTTTCCCTTTTTCCCCCCCGATGTAATTTTAACAAGACGTACCGCCGTAAAGGCGCAGTAACATCGCGGAATCGTGGCGCTCTTAAGGCCCGCGTCCACGATGCTAGAATTTGGCCCAAGCTCCAGTTTCGAGAAATCTGCAGCCAATCAACTTGCAGCTGTTTCACAAAAGCTGCAGGTTGACTGGCTGCACGAAACTTGGACCGAGTTCTAATATCGTGGACGCAGGCCTTCACCCGATACGTTCCGCTCGACACCGGCTTTACAACAACCAAAAATGGAAGGAATCTAATTGGCTTTGAAGATAGAGCGCAAAAGTACGGGGAGGAAGGGAATATCGCTACCGAGATACGAGGAGCGCCTCTAGTCGCGCGACTGACAGCTTCCCTTCCGTCGGGAGAGCACGCACAGCGGTAACTTTGTTCGTGGGACCTCTTGAACAGGGCCCATTCATGGCGCAGGTCACAGGAAGAGAGAGAGACTCGCCCCACAGAGGGAATATGCTAATCTAGGCGACAGAGGGAGAGGGCGAGAAAGAGAGAGAGGGAGGAGAGGGGGAGGGAGAGAACTCGGTGCCTAACATCTCGGACGAGCCCGTATCACGGAACAGCTGCTGCCCTCGGATACGCGGCGAGCGTATCGTAACATTGCGAGTATCGATCTCGCCGAGGCGAGGCAACAGTTTGCCTCGAAATAATGCCGATGCACGGACGCGAAAAGATTAATCTATTATTCGCACACGCGAGAGATGGGCACGCGCTATTATCCGGCGTTCCGCTTACTTTCAAGGCGCCGACGGTGATAATTCAGGAAATTGCGCGGAGCGCGGCGTAAAGAGGATCGTTTCGTACACAAACGCGACGTGAGATTTGCTTAATTGAAAGATCGCGCCTTTTCGACGACACTTGAATCGCGTACAACAGGTACAATTCGTGTGTGTATGCGTCAAGTCGATACGCGACGACAGCCTTCGTGCGATCTTTCTGTCTAGCAGCTTCGTCCTCTCTTCTTCAGCCTGCAGTCTTTTACGTATTTTTTTCACTTTCAATGAAATCCTTCGATTCAAGAGCATTTCAAATCCGTTCGATTGAATTAGGACTGTCATCGCGATTTGACAAAGTGGCAGAATTGCGGGCGAAAAGTATACCTGCATTATAATGAAACCTCTCAAGCAATTTGATTCCCGAGTGAATAAGCGTGTGCGTTATCATTCAAGTCATTTAACTTTTAATATGCAAACCGAATTGTACCTAATTAGAGATCTGACTCACTTCCGACCAGCAATTAAGCCATGTCATTCACGTTCAAGCAGCTGCGTTCTTGGACGGAATAAACCTCTCGTAAAAATTAACAGTTTATTAAATCGGGAGTTTGATTGTTCTTAAAAAACTCACCCTAAAAGTAGCAAAAAAACTAAAGAGAACTGAAATTAAATTACTATTAACAATAGTAGAAGGTAAGACAAAAATCCTGCATATTTTTATCCCACGTGTACATTTTTATTTTGTATATCTTTAAAAAACAGATATACATTTTTATGGTAAATAAAATTAAAAGACGTGGGTAATTACAATTTATGAGGGCGTAAAGATTCTAACTGGATACAAAAGGTCACAAGTTAAGCAAGAACGAAAGGCACAGGCTCGCAGGATGGAATTCCGCGAGGATTAAGTCAATTGGGAAGGCGAGCTTCGAAAAGTACAAAAATCCGACGGTCCGTTCGGGAATCGGAAGAGGAACGTGGGAAAATAGGTATTTCTCGCGATCAGCCTGCAGACTGATGAGTGTCCACAAATTAGCATTTCCGCGACGTCGCGAAACATCAAAGGACGCGAGCTTTACGGACGCCGCATTGTTACCATTGTATCCACGACCCGTTCCCGTCGCATTCTTCGTGCCGTCTCATTTTCCGGTGGAAGAGCCGTTCAATTCTCGGGTAACGAGTCGGTAGCGCGAAATTCGCCTAATTACGCACGTACACGCGCGAGCCGGATGAATCATCCTCGTGGCATGACTGCGTGGAACCATGCAACCGAGCAGATTTCCGTGTAAACGCAATATTTCATCGTATCTCTCCACGTGAACCCCGAGGGGGAAACCGCTGGCCAAAATCTTGTACGCCAATGCCCACTAATGCCCAGTGGGCATTACTTTGTCTTATCTTATTTTATCCTATTAATAAAATGTGTACGGCTCAAATGTGATAAACAGAAATGTGAAGGAATAAAGGACTAAGAGCCGTGACAGGGTGTTAGTGTCTGAATATTTTATTCTAAATTTATTGCGAAGAAATATCACCTCAGCCAGGGTTTGAATATCTTATTTTATTTTATTTTGTCTCGAGAAACCGCTTAGGGCACTGTGGTGTACAGATTTGCGGCATTACTGGGCATTACTAGGCATTTTTTGGGCATCAGGCCTTGCTGAGGCATTATAGAGATAAGACAAGATAAATGAGATAAAATAAGATAATAAGATAAAGTAATGCCCAGTGGGCATTGGTGTACAAGATTTTGGTCAGCGGTTTCCCCCTCGTTTTCTCTTTATAATGGCCAGACTAATGCCAAAAAAATGCCTAGTAATGCCCAGTAATGTCGCAAATCTGTAAAACTACAATGCCCTCAGCGGTCTCCCCCTCGGTAAACCCTAGAACCTCGTCTCTCGCGATCGTCGGAGTAAGCTCGCTCCGTTCCGAAAATTCCGCCGCGACGGAAACCAAAATTGGAAACTGTTGCATAATTAACGCGGATTTTAATTTAACTGTTATCGGCCGATACGTGTCGGGGAACAAACAACACGTGTGGCTGTAATCTCGCGCGCTTCAATAATAGAATCCTCCCCGCCCTCCCCCTCGTTCGAGCGATAAATTAGCGGGTGTAGCGCGAAGCGCTAAGACGATTATACTTACTTCATTTGTTTCACGATCGTACTCTTGCCGGACTCGCCCGCTCCTGAAAAACAGAGGAGAGGCATTAATAATTGAGAGCAATCGGTCTTCTCGCGATTGCGTATCGCCGAATTACGTCGCAAGATGAACTCTGGCGCGCGTTGGACAAAGGAAAACGACAAGCCACTCGTTATCCTGGTTTAATTTCAGGAATTTATTGACGCGACTCCAGAATTACCTCTTATCTTGTATCAAAGATTGGAAAGGGACAACTAATCTCTCTGTCAATTAACAGTTCGCCGAAAAATACTATTAAAATTTGCCCGGTGAAATCAATCGTCGTGCATGTTAATTTGTATATTCAGTGAGTCAACGGACGCTTCTGCTGTTAAATTGTTTCCCCCGAGAGAAAAATAATCTCGCATCACTAAAATCGGATCGACGTACGCGTGGTTAAAGCGGAGAGTCGCCGGTTATCACGAAACACGGCCGCTTTACGCGACCGGATACTCGTCGACGGAACTCGCTTTTCCTGCTTACCGCAAGCCTCCGCTCTCCCATTTTTTAAGAGCACTCTCGGCGCGAGTAGCCGTCTATAATAGCTACTCGACGGCTAGAGCCGTTTAGTATCAACTGAATACACGCGCGAGATCTCGAGTAAGAGCCGGCCTATAAACGGCGACCTGGAGGGGAAAAAAGGAGTACATCTCGAGACGCCGACGATGATCCTCGTCGCGCTCGCGCCGAGGTAAAACACCGGATGGTGCCCGGACGAGTCGCAAATTTGTCCCGGGCTCTGGTGCCGAAATCGTGCCTCGCCCACCGCAGCCTCTGAACTCCATTTTACTCCGGTACTCATTTATCCGCGATAAAGTCGCTCTCGCGATCGCTCCGGTAAAACAGTAGGCGCTACGTGTCCCGATAGGACAGGATGTACCCGAGCGCTCTATTTACTTTAGATAAGCCGGGGAGGCTCCCCGGGAAACTCCTATTAGATTCCGCGTTAACTTTCGTAACTCCAGCCAGATTCCATCATCCGCGCTGCGCTGCGCTGCGCTGCACCGCGGTACTTCCGGGAGCGCTTATTATTCATACGCCGGTTTGTTGTGCCGTTTTGGTATGATTTAGAGCCAGATCTCGCGTTTACTATGGCGCCGCGGTAAAACTTGGCACCTGCCAGCCGCCGTTTCGCCACCGCGTTCGAGATACCCCGGCGAAATACCGAGCTGCGAGTGATCGGTTTATCTTCGAGTCCGGCCCAGTAAACGCGCCTCGGTATAAGCACTTGCTTCCCGGCAGCTGCGGCCTCGCTCGCGTTTTCATTCACCTATTCTATTCTGCGGGAAGGCCCGCAGGTTGCGAGGGCGGCTTTATCCGTCGCGAGCCGCGATAAATGTGGGACGGAGATAATTTAGATAAATTTAAGTGCCCGCACAGAGCGGCGGGAAACAGGAAACTGTTTGCACTTCATTGACGCTACCCGTCGGTTTAGCATGGAATCGACCGCGCGCTCAGGAATATTCGTGGAAAATTAATGCGCTAGATTTTATGAACACAAAGAATATGAAATCGCGGAGACTCCGCGAGTCCGCGTAAATACATTAGAATTATATTTCATTTCAACTTCATATAGATTTTTTATCAAGTTGATATTACGGAGAAAAGTTTCATTCGACGAATTTTATTCGTTTGTTACGTCGGCTAATTATTGTGGCAACAACTTCAGTGGTATATTCAATCATAAAAGGATCTGATTCTTTAACAGGTGTAAGATATTTCTCTGTTGTGTCCCTTTGTCTCGGGTGAATTCGGAGGATATATTTGGAAAAAAAGAGAGGATATTTTATTTTATTCTGAAACTTTGTTCTTTTCGATTTGCATCGTAAATCACAGCAAATTCTACGTAATTGTATACGTACACGCTGTAACGTCGGGTCGAAAAATGAAATATTAATTGTAATGTAATTAAATATTGAATGCAACGCGTTTAGCGCGCACGGAAAAACACTTCACCGTCGTTATAATTTACAGGGCTGCAATAAATTGTATTTTATTACGCTGCCCTTCTAACATTTCGGCCGCCGGTTTCACGCGCGCAAACACACCGTGCCCTTTGCCATTTTGCTCCATTTTACATCCGTGCACGCACTCACAATGCACAATCGATGCTGTTTTTAAAGTATGCTAAACTGTATTTGCAAAACTTTTCCATTCTCCCAAAATGAACAGTCTATGCGAATTGAAGCCTCTCGGTATATTCGATGCAGTAAAAATTAATTAGAGGTAGAAAAACACGTACTTTTTTCTATTTTTCCGTAAATTTTCTGCAATTAACTGCTGCGTTGAGGGCTCGGGTCCGATTTTTCATTTTCTGATTAACTGTTAGCCAGAGGGGATCAGTCGACTCTCCGTCTCTTCTTAGATAATAACACAGAAGAAGATGAAGAGTCGACTAACTTCTGGTTGACAGTTGACCAGAAAATGAAAAACCGGGCCTTAGGGTCAATTTAAGCAGCGACATCGAGATAAGAAAATTGTCCAGCTAATCCTCCCCCTCCTTTCCTGCTCAATTCAAGTAGAAAAATTGCGCAACGGGCAACAGATTGAACAAAATAACAGCGAGAAGAATGTAAAATCGCGAGGAAGCTCCTCACCTTTTTCGCATGCGCGTGAAAAGCGAGGAAATGTCGAACTCCGCTTTTCACGCATGCGAAAAAAGTTAGGAGCTTTCTCGCGATTTTACATTCTTCTCGCTATTTGTTCAATTCGTTGCGCAATTTTTCTACTTGAATTGACCACGGGACAAAGGAAGCTCTCGCCGGACAAGTTTCTTATCTCGATGTCGCTGCCGAAATAGAACCTAAGGCTCGGTTTTCATTTAAAATAAAAAGTGCGTTCTCGCTGTTGTTTGTCCAATTCGTTGCCCGTTGCGCAACTTTTCTGCCTGAATTGACCACGGGAGAAAGGGAGCTTTAGCCGGACAAGCTTCTTATCTCGATGTCGCTGCCGAAATCGAACCCAAGTCTCGGCTTTCATTTAAAATAAAAAGTGCGTCAAAAGTGCGTGAAAAGCGAGGAAGTGTCGATCCTCCCACTTGGCTTTTCACGCACTTTTAACGCCCCGACACCGCCGCGCAAGAACCGCGACAAAGGAGGCGATCTCAGCCGCTGACATTTAACGCCACGCGGTGCCGCCCTGCGTCCGTCGCCTTGAAACACGCGTACGTGCGTTCGTATTTCGCAGCCGAGGCACCATTAATCGGATGAAAATACACGCGGCCAATTTGCGCACGTACATACGCACGCACGTTCCGCCGCCGGCGGAGTGACGTCACCGGTTACACCAATAAACAGGACCCATATTTCGCGAGAGAACGCGTATCTTCCACGACGCCCGCGCGTCGCCGCTCCGGGTTAACGCAGAATGCGTTGATTCTGCGCGATTTTTCGGACGCCACGGCACCGCGAACCCCTCGGCGGGCGAACCGCGTTGAAACTGACAGGCGTCTGCGACGAGCGGGGAGACTCGCGTAATTAAACGACGAAACGTTAACTGTGGGAAACGCGACTTTGCTCCTGCGGAATATTAATACGAATTATAATACAATCGATACACTCGGCGTAGAATATTGAAAAGGGATGCGGGGAGGCGCAGACCCGAAGACGACGTCGAGACGCGCGACTTTCTTAGACACGGGTTATATCCCGGTCGCGAGGCGGAAAAGCGAGAAGAGGCGAGAAGGTAAATTGAAAACGTGCAATTAGCGACGCTGACAGATAAACGGAGACAATACCGCCGGCGCATTTTACGCCACCCCCGCGCTGATTTTGCCTCTAATTATAGCGCGAGGCCGGCGAAGGATTTTTCATTAAGACTCGGAATCGCAAGGGGCGCAAAAGTAGCGCGGTAATGTCCGCGGGACACAATTAAGATCCGACGGGGATGCAATTAAACGCTGCGTGTGGCGTTTGCTCCTCATCGGCGCCGACGCGAGGACAACGCGGCGAAACGCCGCAGAATTTCATCGCGTAATAATAGATTCGTAAACGGGCGGCGGCGATCGTGAATGAATCTCGGGTTCTTGCGCCTATTTACCTGCGGTATACGTAATCGTCGCGCGTTACGCAACGCTTCCCCCGCAGGAACTCGCCGGGCAATGTGATTCATTCGCGTTAATGCATCGCTTAATAATCGGGGGAGAGCCCGCGCGATGCCGATCGCGTTCCGACCTCAGCACGTCAATGGAACGAACGACTCGTCCCATTGACGTTCTAATATTTGAAATGCGCGCGCACTGTAGCCTCCACAATTATTCACGACATCCTTTCTCGGGGAGGGGAAAAAAAACGAAGGCTCGTTATAAATACAGTAACTCCCGCGCGTCTTCCCCCATCGAGTTGCGTCGGGACACTTTTTTTTCTCTCTCTCTCTCTCTCTCTCGTCTAAAAGAAAAGTCATTAGGCAGCTCCGTTTCTGGTGGAATTCCAGAAATAAATATGTCCCTGATACGCGCGGCACAAACGAACGAACGAATATAAAGTGCCGTTGGAAACCTACGTTCCCAAATTATCCCCGTGGCCGCCGCTGGCTTGGAAAAAAAAAAGAAGAAGTCCGACGATAGACTTTCCCTGTCGACTGAAAATTTCATGGCCCGAGGGACGCCGACACGTGGCAACAGTATGCGTCCTGGCAAATATCAGATCACCCGACGTCCTCCGTCACAGCCCCCCCCCCGTCCCCTCCCCCCGACAGATATCCCGAACGCATATACATATATACCGGACGAAAAAGAGAGGAGGAAAAAAAATCCCCCGTTATCTGATTTGTCGTTCTCCAGCTCCGTCTCCAGCGGTCTATTTCGGTTGGGAGGATATTTTTGGCAGCGCGAGATTCCACGTGTCACTCGCGGTGTCCCGCGCGCGTCATTTCGGTCGGCTCGTATCGAAGAGTCGACCGGCGCGGCGGCGATCGCGATATCGCGGACGGGGGAGACGCGCGGTATCGCCCGCCCCGTCATCTCGGGCCGCGTCCCAGCGCGTTGACGTCACCGATGACACGCCGACGTCAGATGATATCTGATGTCGACGCCGGCAATTATGCGCCTCGAAGCGTTCCGGCGCGCGCTGAAAGAACTGACGTCGGATGAGCGATCGGGCATTACCCTTCCGCAATAAGGAGGAACACGCTTGTTGCGCCGTTCTTCCGGCTTTACGTCGCGTCCAATTTCCGGCACGCCGGTCGATTTAAAAGGCCGGCGCACTATCCGCGAGCCCTCGAGTCGCCTTCAGTTCCTTTAAACCGGGTTGAACTTGTTGTTGGAGGAGAACACCTCAGATTAGTCGCGAATCTAATAGCGAATTCGGTTGCTCGCACCGAGTGCACATTTGAGGCTTGTTCACAGCCAATTCTTATATTTAAGGATAGCCTTAAATATCTCTTGAGATACTTTTTAATCGGCAAAATAATATGTGCATCATTCTTTGACTAAATGCTCTTGGAACATGTATTTAGGACGAAGTTGAACATAAGAATATTGACTATAAACAAGCCTTAAGTCCAATGTCCACGACACTAGAACTTGGTCCACGTCCTTGGTCCGAGAAACGTATAGGCAATAAAATTGCCGCTTTTCCGTAAAAGCTACGAATTGATTGGTTACAAATTTCTCAATCCAAGAACTCGGACCAAGTTCTAGCATCGTGGGACATTGGCCTTTAGTGCACTCAGTGCGCACTAGTGCAAGCAACCGAATTCGCTATTAATCGATGCGCTCGGTCTCTCTCTCTCCCTCTCTTTCTGATTTAATTGGACGAAAACTTGTTTTTTCTCAACCACGGACCTTCATCGGGGAACATCGCGAGTCAATTTCCGGCGTTACGTCAAGAGGTAATCGCGGAATTGCGATCTCCGATGATTCTCGCACGCGACGAAGAACTTTGACATAATTAGCCTGTAATTTGGCACGCATTTACAAAGTTAGGTAAATCAATAAAGAAGAGAGAGAGGGAGAGAGAGCGCGTACAATGCGCAACTCCTCACCAATCATAGATCCATAGCTCATGAAATATCTAACGCGGGAGGGAAGCGGCGGGGTGTAGGTACTTCGGTGTCGTCGATATATAATCGCGGTCGGTCGCCGAGTTGCATGCGACCGAGTTGCCGACGGATAATTTCGCGACAATATTTATGCGATTCGACGAGAAGTTATCCTTCCTCGTGTTTCAAAACTCGCGGAGCTAAGTCCCCTTGCGCGGCTCTCTCCAACTACTTTCCCAACTGCATTAGTCATGTTTCGTTACTTCTTCACGTTGCCGATTCCCGCTGACTTGACGTGACAATATCGGGCTTTAGGCGAGCAGCGCGACAACCGAGGTGGGCGACACGCTTCGATAAATTTGCGGCAGATCGATATCGCAATGGTTGCTTCTTTCGCTCGTTACACCCTGAATTGTGTCCCGGCCGAACTCGCAACTGGGGTGTTTCACACCCCCCTCCGCCTCTTGCGGCGGGCGTTTCGATACCGGCGGCCACTACGCGGCACTTATGTTGAATATACAAGTCACCAGATCCAAATCAAACAGCCGGCTACACTTGTTTATCTCATCTGCCTGACCTGTTTTCGCGTAATGTGCGATAACGTAATTTTTACAGTAAACGTAAATTTCATTTCAGTAACAAAGCTCTGCAAAAAAAGAAAGATTTGATACGTTGGAATATTCATAATTATCGCGACTTGTCTCTTACTTCATTGTCAAAAGTATAAATGGAAATCAAATTACATCAAGCGCACGTTCTATACGCCGAATAGAATTGTGGGCAAGAATTTCGAATGTTAGCTGTCTTCCTTTCCTTTTAATTTCCCAAGCTCGAAAATAGCTCGGGGATCTGCTGGTTCCGCCTACGACTTCTCGTTGTAAAATTTTAACGGGCGCGCATATCGCAGATCTCGAGACGCGGGGGCGAATAGACGAGTAAAGAGCGACGCGACGTACCGAGCAGCAGGAGCTTGATGTCCTTGGCCGCCTGGATACCGTCCTCCTTGAGATTCTTCTCGATCTGCTTGCTGCGAGCCAGAGCGGCTCGCTCTTCCGCTGACATGGCACAGCCCATCTTGCTACACGTTGCCTTTACAAATGCCACCCTCACGCACTTGCTCTCTCACCAGCGGCTGCCAAACAGCGCGGCCAGGTAGCGGCCCCGTCGCCCCGAAGAGGGTGAAACGACCTCCCGGTGCAACTTGTTCTCCTCCACCACCGCCGCCTCCCCCTCGCCGCCTCCTCAATCCCGTCCTCCTCGTCGCACTTTGCACCACCCGCGGAGACAGCGGCCGACGCCGTCGTCACCACAACGGCCGATACCACCACCACCACCGTCACCGCAATCACCGTAAACACTTTCGCTACCACCGATACCACTGACACCACTACCGTCGTCACCGGCACCACCTCCGTCACCGGCACCACCTCCTTCACCGGCTTCACCGGCTTCACCGTCTCCTCCGCCGCCTCCTCCTCCTCCTCCGCCACCACCACCACCACCACCACCACCGCCGCCGCCGCCGCCGCCGCCGCCGCCGCCGCCACCACCACCGCCGCCACCACCACCACCGTCCTCCTCCTCGTCCTCGTCTTCGTCGTCTTCGTCTTCGTCGTCACCGATGGCAACCTTACTGGCGGCTACAACCGGCACCGAGTGGTCCTCTAACTACCTGGGCGACCGCAGCCACCCGTACGCGGCCCTAACCACCGCCACACTTGCGCCGATTTAGCTACGCGCCGGTTCAGCTACGCCTGCAAGCAGAAAGGGGTAATCAGACAAATGCTCGTAATCCAGCTCGAGAAGCACTACGTCAATAACTCGACATGTGTAGCAATCTGCCCAAGCTCGACACGTAGTAAAACGCGTCACGACATGAATTGATATAGACTAGTAATTTACGTTTATGTGTTAAGAAAAATTTATCTCAAGTCTTGGACCTTGCGGACGTGTATTTCAATGTAGAGCATGCGTCTCATTAATGTAAACGACAATTGATTATGATCGAGTCTACGGATTAGATCGATACCGGCATTGTTTAACCAGTTGTCGTCTCACTCAACGTCGAGGAGAGCCAAAGAGGAGACGGACAACACTCGTTTTCGCTTTTCCAGCGACGATCGCGACTTGGCAGATCGCCCGTGTTTGATACCCTGAAAGGTACTCGAGCAATCGTCGCTGATAACGTCGTTTGTTCGTCGTATCTCGTTATTATTCCTCGGCGCGAGCCGGGTAATAATTTTATTAGGCTGGCGTATCGAAACCGCTCGATGCGATTTAAGACCTTGTCACTGAGCGTGAATCCGATCTATAACGTCATTAGCCGTGGTAAATGAAGGATTGAGTTTCACAATGATGAGAGAGGGAGAAAATGATAAGTTAATTGAAGTAAACCAAATCCGTGAACTTTCGTCAACGTTTTCGTATTGTTGCATACAAACAGATTTTTACACTAAACAACACGCGAGAAAACGCCAATGTGGGTCACAAGGCAAGATGTAGGTAGCCCAACTTGTAATTTTTATATTTTTTTTTATGTGAATCCATATACCGTTTCTTTCCACATTTGTCCTGCCGTCCACCTTTCTTACAGGTGGAGTTATTATCGTCAGCAAATTCACATATTCAAATCGATTTACACTCTTTCTTTGTTAAAAATCTTACGTACTTGAATTCCGAGAAAAGCGTATTGTTTCTGTAAAGAGACGTTCCAGTGAGGAAAATTTTGAAGACGTTCAATCGCATAGTACATAATTTTATTTAATTTGTGTACAACTAGCAGAATGAACCTTGGCTCGGTTAGAAATGATAGTGGAGTAGGTTGACGTTTAGTCAGCCTAGTTTAACGCAACTCGCGGTGGAATGTCGCTGCGTAGAAAGACGACGAATTATAATGAAACAGAAATCAAATTGTGGGCCTCGACGAGCCATTTAAGAGAACTCAATCCAAGTTTCCCTTGCCAGTTACCGAGAACAGACCTCGACTCAACCGTAGTGAAAAGAGTGCAGAGCAACGCTAAATTAGATTCTCGATCTAATTGCAATGAGATTCAGACAGCGATCGCTTGGCGACTTAACAAAGATGATGGAAATTTCCAAATCAGCGTCGAAACAAACTGCGTTGAAATCTCGGGAAATCTCGTAGAACGCTAATACCAGCAAATTTCTCAAATTTCTCTTTGCGGTACAATGCGAACGTTTCGTCGAGTCGAGAACCGATTAAAATACCGATGTGACGGCAATCGTGCGAGGACGCGACGAAGATTCAGGTTGCGACAAAATTGCGACGCCGTCAGAAATAACCGGTTTTTGAACAATTGCGCGAGCCACGAAATTATTTCGTGCGCCGTCAGAATCTGTGCGTATATAAGCTCCGATAAGTTATCGATACCTTTGTTCCGCTCGGGATCGAGTGTACACCGGCTTGTCTCAAAAGTATCGTATCTCCGCAAACAATTTTAATAACGACGCCGTTAGCTGTTCGCCGGCGCTGACAAATCCAAATGTGTAATTTTTACGCGCGTACGCGCGCCTGCGATTTTTACGCGCCCAAGTGCGAAAAAAATAACACACACGTGAACGTGTAAAGAGCGTAAAAATTATACATTTGGATTTGCTGCGGGGAGCTGCGGGGCGCGCACCGTCGCGAAATCGAAGCCCGAGACGGAGCCCGCCCCGGGGTTGCGACAGCTGAATTTTTAACCAGCGCGAAAAGCCGCGCTGAGCGCCGGGAAACCGTCCGTGGTTCATTCGTTTGTCGGATTGCACGTACATCTTCGCGAGCACGGCATTACGTGGAAACACACCGGCGTACGATCAATAAAATGCAACGACCTGATATAATGGAAGCGATACGCGTCGCGCTTCATAAAATACCATCGTCGGCAACGGTAAGGCTGAAACACGCCGAGAGAGACGTAAACGCGCGAAAAAAAGGGGGGGGAAACGAGAGCCCTCGGAGCGAATCGTCCAGTTCCCTTCGATTCGTCGAGTTCCTCGCGATTTCATCTCCGGCCTTTTTCTCCCCCGTCCACCCCTCGTATGATTAATGCGGCACGGAAAAGGAGTCTCCCTCGCGATACGAGAAATCAACTCGCGACACTACGCCAAGATCCAGGGTGTCACGTATCGTGGAAATCGAGAGGTAAACCGCCGAGGGCATTGTGGTGTACAGATTTGCGGCATTACTGGGTGTTACTAGGCATTTTTTCGGCATTAGTTTGAGCATTAGGCCTTGCTAGGACATTAACTTATCTCATAATGGAGGAGTTTCCTCTATTAAATAAAAGCAAAACAGTTGATTATAATTAATCTTACCACTTAATACTTAAAACCAATACTGGACAGCCTTTGTATTGGTTTAATTAACAGCACCTTTAAGCTTTACCGTACTGTAATATGTTTTAGAAATTTTTTGAACAAGCGTGGTATCTTGGTTTTACATCAGACTTTTCTACACTGAGAAAAAATCTGGTTGCATTAATCAGAAATCTGGTAGATTCCACCAGTGGTCTGTTGGAGAATGAACGAATCAGAATTCCTTTAGGATTTACCAGAATTTCTGTAGGATTACAGGAATTCTGGTAAATCCTAAAGGAATTATCTGATTCGTCCATATTCAACCAGAAATTTTTTTCAGTGTAGGGTCATTGCGGCATAAATGAAACAAGCGAGAGCGCCTTTATGCAGGTCATTCATGCAGGAGCGCAAGTTGTTGGTAGTCCAGTAATTGTAATCTAAAATGTGAATTCATATACCGTTTTCCACCTTATTTTATATTTAGCAAATATAGCATTTTATAGTAATTAAAAATCGTTTCTCGATTTGAGTATGTGAATTTACTGACGACAATGAATTCCATCTAAATGAAACTGTGTTATGTCCGAAAAGAAACCGGCGCGCAGGACAAGGTGGAAAACGGTATATGAACTCGCATTTTAGATTACGATTATTGGACTATCAGTATCTAGCTCGCACCTAAACTCGCTCTCGCTTGTTTGGTTAGAAATTGTTTTATGCCCGTTTCTACCAATGCAGATTAACTTTAATCCTGATTTAACTTACTTTTTATGTACTACATATAACATTATTTGTCAAGTGATATAATTTTTTTATGTTTAAGAACACACAATGTTCTAATAGAGACTCGGATAACATGCTGTTGGTTTTCATTTGCGCATATCTTAAATTCATATAATGTATGCGACGTTTTAAAACTTTGATTTCATTATTTAGAACGAATACAATTTCAGAACACGGTCTACACTCAAAGTGGCTTGGATCTAATATATTAAAATGATCTTAGAATTCAACGTGGCGAGCGTGGCGCAGAGAAAATGTGCGCTGCTTAGTAAATTAACGATCCGAGTTTAAATCCAGCCGGAGACACCGCTGGTTTTTTCAGGCGCCACTTCTCAAAATAATAAAATTAAGCAATGCACACGTTAGGTGATGTAAGTGATTGTGGTTAGCGATTTACTCCGCGGTGGAAATTTTCGGAACAGATTCCGAATCGGGATTATTCCGTCTGCCCTGGAAGACCGCGACAGAAATCCAGGAAGTGATTGAACTCAATTCCGATCGGAGTCTGCTTCGAAAATTTCCACGATACGTACCCAGTCCTTAACCCAGTTAAGGATTGCTACGAATGTATTTTAACTTGTATTTAAAATTACTCGATCCGAGACGCGGCGAGACACTTCGTTTTGTGACGTGGATTCTTCATCGTCTGCACGCGGCTCCTTTCGCGTTCAGTAGCGCGCAGTAGTTTTAGCGCGACAAGAGAGAGAGAGAGAGAGAGAGAGAGAGAGAGAGAGAGAGAGAGAGAGAGAGAGAGAGAGAGAGAAAGGATTCGAGTCCTCGAGCGGGTGCACAAGCGGCTCTTAATTGCGAACTTGTTCTTTTTCCCGCGGTTTCTTTCACGCAATTTCTGAGCAACCAACTGCTCTCTCGCGATCGTGGTATCTAATTTTGAGAAAACGCCACTAAGATCGAACCTTCTAATTCGAGTCTGCATATCGCAGCGAGAAATCTGACACAATTCGTCATTTACACTACAGTAAGATGATAATTCGTCGCTTAGCGTCATAGGAATATAATTATTTCAAGCCTGGTGTCACGT